TATTCATTTTCATATTGAAATTGTGCCAACTTTGCCTCTCGGCCATCATGCATGAAAATGCACGATTGGTGGCCCGAGGGTCGAGAACTCTACCCCCTTTGAGTTATGAATGATAGGGAGGCGTGATTGTGCATACATATCTTGCAAATACATTGTCATCCCTCCTGCTCTCCTGTTGCAGAAAACTGGAGTCTGGCAAACAACACTGGTCAGCCAGCCAGAAAAATAGCTTTGGCCGACCACTTTTCTTGTTTTCACAACAAAAAGTGGTCGACGGGTGGTTTTTTCTAGGGACCAAAAGTGGTCCCGGCCACCATCCCACGAGGGGTTCCCAAAGAGAGTTTCAATCTTTTTGGAGCTTGTGCAAGTTTCTGAGACAAATGAAAACAAGGCAAATCGGGGGCATTGCGCATTGATTTCCGAACAGGCAACCGAGCATGCAGTCCAGCCTTCTCCCTCCTGAGGGCTCCTTCTTTATTGCTTTTCCCTTAAGGCTACCATGCTTAGAGAGCTAGCTTTTCTTTGGTTTGTACCCTTTAATTAGTTAATGCGTTTAGCTATTTCGATTTGGTTTTATAATAATTAGTTAACTAGGATTAGTTAATTAATTTGTTGTGTAATAATTAGTTTAATTAGCTAGATTAGCTAATTTAGTTCTTATTTGTCCCCCTCAAAGAGGGCCAATTGTTGTAATAAGCGTGTGTGTCGGTGTGATTAATGCTCTTTCAATCCTCATTCTTTCTCCATTTTACTTTAACCGCTATGATGGTTAGTTCTAGGGCATAATTTCTGTAGCAATACCTTATGCTTGCAATGTTTGCATCCATTATCTGAATTGCATGACCGACGCTGCGCATTCATACTAACTGCATTGTATTTCAATTGCCATTTGATACATGACCAAGTTGCATCTCTGTCACGATGATATTTCTTAGGATAGCTGAGCCTATTTCTAGTTTCATTTTGCATGTGTTGCATTAGCCATCTTAACATGAACTAGGATCATGCATTGATTACTAACTAGTTCTTTGTTTTGGCTCGGAGTACACTGTAAGTGTTTATGCTTTAGCATCTTGCATGTGTGTGAGTGTTAACATGACAGCATGCTTGTCATGAGGCTAATTGCTTATGTGATATGACTGCCTGAGTGCCTGTGGGTGAAGGTTGGATTTCTTGAATTGGAATAATTCATTGAAATCCGCATTTTAGCCTACTTGCGAGTAGCAAACTTCAAACCATTTTCTAAACAAACGGATATGTGATGCTTTATTCCAAATTAGGCGATCTAGTCTATACTTGTCTGCTATGCGCATCACATAGTAATTCTAGCTAATTAACTGGAATAAGAATACATATTTTTCAAAACAAAATATCATGTTTAGTACAGTCCGATCTTTGATTGGGCGAGCGGGGGTGCTCATAGATGACCGTCCCCAATCGTACCCAAGTTCCCGAGCCGAGGCAACTTTGGTGATGACGGACACGTGGCCTTAGGCAACGAGTCAAGGTTTCCTAAATCCCCCCAAAATAAAATGTTTAGGTGGTGACTCTGTATCTGGCCAAGCAGTCCATGTTTGGCACTTCTTTCTTAAAAATCAGTTTTTCAAAACGATTTGCCGGATTTGGACTCTTGGTGATTTATCAATCTCACATCGCACATTGTGAAATCAGATTAAGAACCGTGACATTTGAGTCCGACTGTAGCAATGAAGCCCAAGGGCGCGCCTATAAGCAGCCGCCTACGTGTTATTAGTGTCGATAGAAGGGGCACCTGAAGCGGTTTTGCCCACAGTTGGGTGGCACGTCTGGTATATCTAGTTCGAGGTAGACACAGAGCCACAAACCTACACAATCGGAATAGGCCTCGAGGGCCAATTAGGGATCCGTGCAGCAAGCTTATGCTCCGAGGGGCGAGCAGGTAGATCAGAGGCCAACAGGGCGTGTGTATGCTGTTACCGATCTTGTACCACCACCTTCAGTAGTGAGAGATACCTTTTTGTTTTGCCATTCAGTTGCTAATGTGTTGATTGGTACGGGTGCATCTCATTCTTTTATCTCGTCTGCATTTGCATCGATTTTGGGGTTAAAGTTGGCACAGTTAGCATCTCCTATTTTTGTAGAGTCACCTATTGGTGGTGAAGTTATTTTGAAACAGGGGTGTCGGGATTGTGGCATCGAGGTTACCGGCCGTCGATTACCTTTTGCATTTGTATTGCTTGACATGCCTAGTTTTGATGTTATTTTGGGTATGAACTAGTTATCGTCATACCAGGCAGTTATAGATTGCTACCGTCAGAGGGTTATTGTATGTACCTTAAGTGGTGACTGCTTTCATTTCTTAGGGGACTGGGTGGATAGTCTTATCACCGGTATATGATTTGCGTGGGCAGAACGACCTTAGTTGTCTTCTCACTAGGTTCTTAAGTTATGAGTGTGATGAAGTTCAGGTCGAGTTGCCAGGGGTGGTTTATGAATACCCGGATGTCTTTCCCGAGGACCTTAGTAGTTTACCACCTTACCGAGAGATTGAATTCTCTATTGATTTAGTGTCTGGCACGACATCGATTTTTATGGCACCGTATCGGTTTACACTTGCTGAGTTGAGTGAGTTAAAGGTTCAACCCCAGGGGTTGTCAGATAAGGGTTTTATCCGCCTTAGTACTTCGCCTTGGGCAACATAAGCTCTCTTTGCTAAAAAGAAAGATGGAGTGTTGCAACTTTGTATTGACTACCAGAAGTTGAACTGGATAACTGTTAAGAATAAGTACCCAATGCCTCGTATAGATGATCTGTTTGATCAATTGAAGGGGTCATGTTGTTTCTTTAAGATAGACCGGAGATTGGGTTATCATCAGTTGAGGGTAAGGGAGGAAGATATCTCAAAGACGGCATTCTATACGCGGTATGGCGATTATGAGTTTCTAGTGATGCCTTTTGGGCTAACCAATGCATCGGCTATATTTATGGATTTGATTAACTGGATTTTCCGTGAGTTCCTAGATCATTTTGTGGTCGTCTTTGTGGACGACATCTTGATTTACTCACCCTCAGAGGAGGAACACTTGCAAGTAGTGTTTGAGTTGCTTAGAGCCCATAAGCTGTATGCTAAGTTTGGGAAATGTGAATTCTGGCTGAGAGAAGTTAAGTTCTTAGGCCATGTGGCATTCGAGAAAGGGGTGACTGTATATTCACCAAGGTAAAGGCAGTGTAAGATTGGGCACAACCTAAAAATGCTTTTGAGATCCGTAGTTTTCTGGGATTGGCCAGGTATTATCAGAGGTTTGTGAAGGATTTCTCTAGACTAGCTTCACCTTTAACTAGGCTGACGAGGAAGGGAGTCAAATTTGTGTGGAATGAAACTAGTGAGAAGTCGTTCCAAGAACTTAAAGTTAAACTAACCACTGTTCCAGTTTTGATTATTCTGGAGAGCCGTTTGGGTTATTCAGTGTATTGTGATGCCTCACGGGAAGGTATGGGTTGTGTTTTGATGCAAGAAGGAAATGCACTAGCCTATGGCTCGCGGTAGTTGAAAACACATGAGAAAAACTACCCTACTCATGATCTAGAATTAGGTCTCGTTTGGGAACAAGCTAATTTAGTAACTTTTTGACTATTTGGTTAAAATATGAGCTAAAAAAAACTAAGTTGTTTGGGATGAACTTTTTGGCTTTTTACGAAAGAAATAATATAAAAAAATGGAAGTTTGAAACTTGACATTTTTGCCCTTGCACGGAAATCGAAGCCTGGGAAATGGAGACAGATGCAGCTACTGTCCGTTGTAGCTACCCGTTGGAACTTTTGACCAATATTTAATTTTTTTTTTTTTTATATGACAATGTACTGTACACTTTTTGACTCATGTGCAACCAATGTCAAAGTATCACATCTGGCCACATATGTAATTGGAAAATCAGATTCCTGGGTTTCTATTGTGATGTATTGTTCAATTAAATTTTTTTTTTTGTGTTCTTTTTTTTTGGGTTTTTGTTTTTTTTTTTTTTAATTTCAGGATTTTGACACCAACACACATGCAACATGTAGGCCTTGTTTGGTTCAAAATTGGAAAAGAAATGTAGGGGACATAATCTACAAATATTATTTGGTTTTACTGGTTTTGAAAAAAAAATTCAAAATCATTTTCTATGTCTTACACATAAATCAATCTTTTTTTTTTCTCCGCTTTCCTTCTGAATCACTTTTGTCTCTCACACACATCCACTCAAGTACAGACTAATATACAATCTTTTTAAATTCCCACACTGGGAAACTATTTTCAAAATATACAACCAAGCAAACCAAAAATATTTGTAAATGTTTTCCCCATTTTTTTTTCTTTTTTTATAAATTTATCTCCCAAAACCAAACCACACACACCTATACTTTCAAAAATTCTCAATTTTGTAAACTTGGTAAATTTTCAATTTTTTTTTTTTAAAATTTGACATAGGTGTCCGGTCCACACACATGGTAATTTCTTTGATGTCCACAACATTTTCGAAAACAAATTTCGTAATGAATAACATTGACACTTTTGTTGGTAATGTTTGTGGTGTTATAGATGAAACTTGGGGAAAAAAAATTTAATTATTGTCAATTTGCAATATTGAAAGTAGTTTATTTGAAGATTTTTCAAATACATTAATTTTTTATTTTATTTCTGAAATACTGATTTTTATTTTAGTTGGTTGAAGACAATTTTGTGTCATGTTTTTTACATGATGTAATTGGGCACAATTATAGACTTTACAGTTAATGCATGTAATATGTGTGATGAAATTCGTTATGACAATCCGTGAAATAGGGATTTTGCATTAACCATACACGCATGCAAAGTACGACGATTTCGAAAGTTTTTTTTTAAATTCGTACATCTTCAAATATCTAAACAGTTTTGTACGTTATGCATACAAAAGGACAAAACAAGACATTAGTGACGGTTTTCACAAAACACATACTACGGAAAACATTTAAAAGCAGTCATGGTAAACAACACTATCCGACTACCTACCATTGCGCCGAATTTGGTATAACTCAGCCCTTATTTGATGACGCACCTCCGCCATTTCAACGTCCTCGTCCGTAGCCACGACGGCTTCGTCTAGGGCAGCCAAATTTGCGCGATCGGGAATATTGGCATACGTGTACTCCGCCGCATTTCTGACAGTAGCAATGGTCGCATCATCCTCGCAGTTTCTGCGTATGAAATTGTGTAATGCCATAGATGCAGCCACCAACGGCACCTGGACTCTACGAAAGTCAAACTGAGGCATGTTGTGCAAGAATCTCCACCGTGACTTCCAAGCGCCAAATGTTCGCTCAATCACACTCCGCAATGAAGAGTGGGCACGGTTGAACAACTCGTCATGATTCCTCGACTTGTGACGTTGAAAGTGTGGTTGGTGATAGTTTCTGCCCTTATATGGTGCGAGAAATCCCTTCTTATTACTGTATCCACTATCCACTAGATAATAGCGACCTGTGAATGTGTACATATTAATACATATTTGTTTCACGTGTGGGCAAACAAATTTAACAAGTTATGGCATTGAACAAATAGACTGTGCGTACGTACCATCCACTACAGTTGGAAAATTATATTGCGGATCCTCGGTGACAATGTTTAAAATCCGACTGTTATGCATGCTACCCTCCCAACGACATGACACAAAGATGAAACACATATTGAAATCACACACTGCCAAAATATTTTGAGTGTGGCAACCCTTTCGGCTAAAATACGGGGCTACTTCCGACTCCTCTATGCACGCTGGCACGTGTGCCATCCAAGGCACCTAAACAATCCTACACAATTCGAACAAGTAGGCAACGTATTAGTACCATGATGACATGCATTATAGCCGCGCAATTTTTTTAAGTCACATCTTCGTAGAATTTGCGGAAAAAAAAAACTCAAATTGTTGCATTTTTTTCGCACCTTAAACGGCAAATACTGTGGTTGGGTCTGCAGGTGGGGATCCCTCCTGTTTTGGAAATCTGTGGGCGGCCGACAGTGCGCAACAATAAACTTTTTCATTGCTTTCAGAACATTATGAAAATGGCGTGATATTGTTTCACTGGAGTGTTGGAATCTTTCTTGAAGCTCGCGGTTAGGCAAGTTTTTTAGAACATGAATGAAGATTGCAACACTTTCCTCAACGTGCAAGTCGTGGTCCCGCTCAAGTACATGCAACCCGAAGTCGTTCACTAGTGTGGCACATAAACGGGTAAAAATGACTTTGGGCATGCACAGTTCATAGCGAAATCTGCCACTGTGTCCATTATACATTTCCAAAATCCATGCCCTCCCCGTCAAGATGGACGTCCGACATGGAACTTTAAGCACGTGTGCCCTGTAGTAGTCGGAGGCAATTCTGTATGCTTCAACATAATTGTTATTCATTTCAGTCTGCCACTCGATTGCGAGCGCCGCGACATCATCACACATTTCTTGCATCCGTGCATCGGTGTCATCGTTGCTTTCCATGCCTAAATCACATAACTTCAAATAAAATCATAAGCATACTGCTCTGCCAAAATTAAACATGCAAAAATTAATTTTTGTTTGGTCAACTGTAAAGGCTGTCAATAACAGAAGTATTATGCATAAATAATCAATTTATTTCATTTGCATAAATTCCTCTGAGACCTTCTATTGTATTAAAGTAGTTCTGTTAGCAATGGTGAAATCGTGAAGACATTTACTTGATGTATAAATAAGGGCTTCAGTAAACTGGACATGTCTCTCTGCAAGTAGCAACGCTTTTGTTGAAATGGTCCAGTACAGCTGATTTATAACAACCACTGTTTACATAACTATGAAGCTGCAAATTGGAAGAGTGTAATCAGATTCATGGTTTATTGAAATTTAAAATTGTAAAATCCATAGCCAATACCCAACCAATGCACATCCATAATTAGAAAACCAGGCAAAGAAAAGGAATAGCATAACCATCTCCCTACCAATTGTCCTTACAAAGCATAGTTGAAAACATCATGTCATTAGCAAATACAAAACGAACATTAGCGCAAAAAAGTCCAACACAAAGCATTTCATTAAAATGCAGCCCTTTAGCAAATATAAGCGAAGTCCAAAGCATAAGCGAAAAGAATTCCAACACATAACGCATAAGAAGTCCAACACAAAGTATAGTTAGAAACGAAGTCCTTGATTGCGCAATATGCTTGCAAGAGTTGGAACTGCTGTCGTCCTCTCTTTGTCTTGTTGCTTCACCTGGAGCCAGCTGATAATGCCTTCATCGGAAGGAATACTCATAACCATCTCCCTATTATTGGGCACCTCCATAAGGGAAATACCGAAATGGAGCAGTGGATTAGTTTGTTCAAGTCCTTGAATTTCATAAAGACGTCCGACAGCTTCGGCCATAGTGACACTTTGTCCACCGACAACATGGTTAACAGTGAGTTCCTTACTTTGTGTCTTCACCGTATTCACCAAATCATCCATGCTTGTTGCCAATGCTTCTGCCCCAGTGATTCGCTTCTTCTGCACAGCTATGATAGATGAGTGCCTCTTTTTGCTGCCACTACCCGATGCGGTAATGTTTGCAGATTTCATCAAGTTTGCAGTTTCAGAGGCACCCAATTCATTGCTGTCCGTAGAGAAGTCTGCACTATCGAACTCCCCTTCCACCTCCAGCTGGTTCCGCATCTCACCAGGCGTCCAAACATTTTTCCCGTTGCCGCAGCCCCCGTGAAAACATGACGCATTAATTCCTCATGATCCAATCTCTTTGTTCTAAACTTGCAACACTCTTTGTCAACCTCTAATACAATACAATGGGAGTACACCATTACCAAAATGAATAACTTATGAATCTGGGAATCTGTGCATTATGAATGAGCCAAAAAAATTTTAAATTACCAACATTCAGCAAGTATTAATCAGGCATTATGAATAACAGATTTGTCTGGACAGTCCTGCCCAATAATAGATCTGTCCAACTGTCTAGGCAATTCTATGATTACATATTGCTAACAGGTAATATAATTTTATTAAATCAAATCTGATACAATTTGTTATAATCTGTCCAGACAGGGATTATGTCCAAACAAGGATAATCTGTCCAGACATATTTTTGATATAATTTGTCCAGGAATATAATCTGTGCAGACATATTTTTGATATAATCTGTCCAGACATATTTCTATATAATTTGTCCAGGAACAATGTTCAATACAGCAATGTAAAAATAATATTCATAATAGGGCATACCTAATGGAAGATCTAATCCGCAGAAATGATCAAAATTGCACATACGCAATCCCACAAAGTGACAAATACTTAACACCCAGCTGTTTCAACTCCCAAAAACTAACAAATTAATAAAAGCCATAATTCAAAGTGCCAAAACCATCAATACTATTCTGAATTCTCAGATAACCCATTTACCAAATCCAGAAATGAGACAAACCAAGATAAAACAAGGCCTAAACCCCCCTCCCAAGAAGAACCAATAAAACCAACAAGGTGATGTAAGAGGGTTCTAGTGGACAGATAAGGGTTCATACAATCTGTCCATGAAAATTTTACTGGACAGATTATTGTAACAGATTATTATTTTTTTGGACAGATTATTATATGATAGCAAAGTGAAAATTGTAATTCCCAGGATCTTACAGTATAGGCTTCTAAAAATAAAAGCATATCTTGTCATCATTCATTACACATTGCTGGAGTTCATTACATCAATGACAGAAAATGGGGAAAGCAGTGAAACAGAAAAACACATGATGATAGATCCAATTGTGAAAGAAAAATTAAGGTAGAAATCTGAGACGGTCTAGGCAACCACAAAGTAAAAAGTGAAATCAACTCTTGACTATTATACATTTCAACATTACTGAGATGCTGAGGAAAGTTTTCAAGAAGATCAAATAAAGGTTTTACAAAAAACACATGACATGTCATGCCAAAACTAGTGTAACCATAAAGTGAGCATCATTATATTCCCTCAATCAACATTGAACTGTACATATATCTGGTACGAGGTTCTCGAAATTATGCAGTTTAGCACTTCAGATGTAAATAGTCTTGTTTGGTATGCCTACTTGAGACGTATAATCAAATGTATTTGAATTCAACATGTCTCTATGAATACTTGAATTGCAGCAGATTCAATTTCAACGACATTATGAAACACAAAATTATGTAAACATGAGTTCAAGTCGTTACCTTCTCCATTGTAACCCACCATTCATCCGACGCATTGATCAAGCCAGTCTCTTGGTCGAACCCAATTCCAGTGGGGCCTTTGCGGTTATCCATTAGCTTCGACCATGCACGCTACTCCGCCTTTAGTTGGTTGTACCTATTTTTCAGTTGTTTCATGCTATGTGTCAACCCAGTCGCTGCCTCAAAAGTCTTAGCCAAAGACCGGTACCCATTCGGATTTATTGACATGTGCGGCCCGTTACCTACGTCTATTTCCTTGACAACAAGTTCCAAGTAGATACATGTGTTCTCCCAGTCTCAATTGGCTTTGTGATAAGGTTTTGGGCCCTTCCCTTTCCCGGAAGGGGTACGAGAGCCGGATCGAGTTGAAGCCATGCGACTATAGAACATTATAATTTGCATTACTTATTAGTTTGTTGTGTGCATTACTTGTAGTTGTGTTAACCATATGTTATTATGTTTGTCCAACACATATGCAATAGTAAAATGACACGGATAAGTAATATATTACATAAGGAAAGCATAGTACGGTAACAAGCAACACGCAGATACATATATCACATACGGAAATCATAGTACAGTAACCATCTAAACACTGATACATATATTACATACGGAACAACAAGATAGCGACGATGATGGACAAAAAACATGTGACAACTTTAAGTACACGCAGGCTCTGTTCAATGTCAATCAAACGCGCCTCAAAATGACGAACATTGTCTCTGTCATTCTCAGCAGCCGTTTGTCGGCCATATTCGTCACACCACCCAATCCAATTGATACATGGCTGAGGTTAAAAACAGTTATGAAATTATTAGTGACGGTTTGACAAGGTAATAATCCCAAAAAAAGTGAAGGTGCTTGTACTCACCACTCCACGAGGGCATTGGTAGTACGCACGTCCTGGATTTTTGGTGAACCGAGAAATCTTGACCACACAATGCCCGTACCCACAAGCACACATAGGGCCTGGTTGTGTTGATGTCGCAGTGGACATAAACGAGGCCATGTAGTCTGTGATGACGTGTTCGATGACATGACAAGCACAACAAAACAGGTAAACGGGTGTGACACTTACGGTATGGGATAAGTGTATTGTGTAAAAAAAACACAACATTATATTTACAAAAGGGAACATATATTCTTCCATTTTGAATAGGATTGCTTCCCTAGTCATTTATGTGCAAGTGGTTGATTACTTGGTCAAACCTAATTCCAGTGGGGCCTTTCCGGCAATCCATAACCTTTGACCATGCATGCCATTCGCTCTTCAATAAATTGTACTTATTTTTCAGTTGTTTCGTCTCATGCAGCCTCCTAGTTGCTGCCTCAAAAGTCTTAGACAACGCCCGGTGCCCATTCGTACTGATTGACATGTGCGACCTGTTACCTGCGTCTATTCCTTAAGTACAAGTTCCAAGAAGATCCGTGTCGACTCTCCATCCCAAATTGCTTTATGATAAGTTGGTTGCCCTTTCCCTTTGCTAGAAGGGGTACAAGGGATGGATCGATGTGATGCCATACTTACTATAATAACGTTATGGAATAGGAACCCATGTAGAAATATTTATACAAACAATACAAGCATTACAAATATTATTAACAAAACATTCCTGTCAGCAATGTCGTATAGAGGGAAACATGAAAATTTATGAACAGTACTACTCATGTGTCAAATGTGGTACAGAGGATTCATGGTTATTGGCTCAGTTGGCAAAAGCTTTATTTATGAACATTAGTATTTCAAACATAACAAACACTTGTGGAAACATATGATAACTATCTGTCCACAAACATAACATAAAAAAATAATAATAATAAATTGAACCACAAAACATAATGGTGGGAATAACAATAGGGTAAGGGTCGCAGCACGGTTAAATACATCACATACCGAATAACAAAATAATGACGATGATGCACAAAACACGTCACTACTTTAAGTACACACTGAGTATGTTCAATGTCAATCAAACGAGCGACATTGTCTCTGTCATTCTCCGTAGGCCTTTGTTGCCCATATTTGTCACACCACCCAATCCAATTGACACATGGCTGAGGTTAAAAAAAGTTATGAAATTATTAGTGACGGTTTGACAAGGTAATAATCCCAAAGAAGGTGAAGGTGCTTGTACTCACCACTCCACGAGGGCATTGGTAGTACGCACGTCCTGGATTTTTGGCGGACCGAGAAATCTTGACCACACAATGCCCGTACCCACAAGCACACATAGGGCCTGGTTGTGTTGATGTCGCAGTGGACATAAACGAGGCCATGTAGTCTGTGATGACGTGTTCGATGACATGACAAGCACAACAAAACAGGTAAACGGGTGTGACACTTACGGTATGGGATAAGTGTATTGTGTAAACGAAACACAACATTATATTTACAAAAGGGAACATATATTCTTCCATTTTGAATAGGATTGCTTCCCTAGTCATTTATGTGCAAGTGGTTGAATGCTAAGAAGCGCAGAGGCAGAGACGGGAATTTTGTAAAAAACTGAGATACCGACAAGACAAGATAGAAATACAGCAAAAAAAATCTTTTTGTTTTTTTTTTAAATTTCCATTGCTATGTATATAAATATAAATTTAGGAGACACTGATATAAAAGGCATTAATGTATGTAGGTGTATTTTTACTTTCTCAGTTTCCTCTCTTTGTTTTTATATATTTTAGTTTGATCTTAATGCATCATGGTAAATCATATAAAAAATATCACAAATATGATTTGAGGCATGTTTAAACATAGGACACACGTATCTATGAACTGTCTAGTTAAAAAAAACAAATAATTCATTTCACGTGACGTGTCCAACACAGAGATATATCCCTAGCATGTTGGTGCCCCATACATTTGACACAAACACATCTATTTTGAAGTGTCAGTACTTCATAAGTTGATTGAGTTTTCAAGTGTCTCAGACTTTTCCTTGCCTTTCATAATTTGAACATGATTTACACTTGTGCTTTGTTATGACAGATTTAAAACCGAGAAATTAAAATATTAATCATGATTCACCATACAACAAGCAAAGAGCTTGAAAATAAAAGTAAAAAAAAAAAAAACAGAATCATGGTAAACCAATAATACCAAAATAGCACATGACACACATCAGAAGAAACCTCTTTGATAGCCATGCACACATACTGATGCAATTAACCTCTTTGAAATGGGAGAAATGAAAAATCCTCAATCAATTACCATGCAGAAAGACAACCATTCATCACGCTGGAATGGCCATGCACACATACTGATGCAATTAATCTATCACTTTAGGAAACATTGTGCTGAGGCATCTATCTGGGCAACATTAAAATTTGCAGTCTCAAAAAACTAGCTAGGTATGAAGGCAACATAATAACGTAAGATCCCACCACAGCATTAACCATACATTGATAGCATTACAAGTCAAAGTCATCCTTGGATTATAAGTTTTATTGTATTTAGGACAATGTTAATTAAGGCATAACCACAAGAAGCCAACTAATATTTGTCAGGAAATACAGTAGTTAAGCAAAGTCAACACGATTTTGAGGTCAATATATTAAGGCAACTATGTACCAAGCAGCACAATGGTTTGCATCAACCAACATGGCGATTACTAAAGACTGAAGCAACTCAAGGGAATGTCAAACTCATACAAGGATTTTTTTGAAACTACAAACTTGTGTATTAGATTAGAAAGAAATAGACTATATTCATGCATATGTATATGCATAAAGATCTACCAAAAGTACTTGAATAGATGTTACACAAACATCCTGATCATGGAAATCATGCTCACCAACTTCACAGTTATACAGCTACTGAATTCATGTCTATGTTCCATCTATTTAGCACTTTCTAACAATCGTATCACATTTCCATGAACACTATGAGGCAAGCGTGAAGCAGAAAAATGAAAAATAAGAAAGCGTCAAGCAGAAAAATGAAGACCTTTAAACTATTTTGTGAATTTAAAATACAGCTCCATGACCTTACCTTAAACAGATAACCTTAAACAGATTAAAAATCTTAAACGCATGCAAACAGATTACAAATTTTAAACAGATTAAAAACCTTAAACAGATTACCTAAAAATATAGCTCCATCAAATGCATACATCACCTTACCTTAAACAGATGACCTTAAACAGAAATCTTAAACAGTTTAAAAATTTGAAACAGATTAAACATTTGTGAAAATTTTAAACACATAAAAATCAACATTACCTTGAACAGATTAAAATTTTTTTGCTGAAGTACATTGTTTAAACACCGAGACATATGAAAGATGAGTTTGTTGTGGAAATTCGTATGATTCGTTGTTTTCTAGTGACAAATTTTCTTTTTTTCTCCCCCCTCCTTTTTCATTATAGGGATTGAATCCACCTTACTCAAAAGATTAACACGAACAACTAGACTGCCACATAAACAAAAAGAAAATGACCAATTACTCCAACGTTATTGTGATGTGTTCGCAGGAATGACAATGGTGGCACTTGTAGCTAATTTCACCAAATTTATAGGAATAGTATAAATGAAATCGTCCTATTTAGGGGGCTTTCTTGTTAGGGGAAAATTAATCATAATACTTCATTGTATTTAGGGGACTTTGTTGTTAATCCCCCCAAAAAAAGCGTTGTAATTTTTGGTTTTAGAACACATAATGCGTATGAAATAGGCAACGGTTGATACACATACACACAGCGACAAAGACAAACAAAGAGCGAGAGGGAGAGAGGGCAGACTGTTCACATATACAATAACCAGAGCAGAGAAGCCATGGTTATGAGATCCACACCCCCCCACCAATGGACAACCCGTAATATTCTCTATTTCTGGTACGTGAAAGAAACCCTAAAACCCCCAACATAATAAGCCAGTTTTTGAAAAAATTTACCCAACTCGAATGTTGAAGACAAATTGGAAACGACAATGGTCAGACAGAGCGACAGACACACACACAGACAGAGAGAGCAAGAGAGAGAGAGAGAGAGTTCATACATACATACAAACCAAACAGAGCGTACGACGGTTGGGAAGCCATAGTGAAATAAAAACAAGAGAGGCTGAAGAGAGAGAGAGACAGAGAGCGAGAGAGAGAGAGAGAGACAGAGAGCATACCTGCAGTTGGGGGGATCGTCGGAGGAGGGACTGCTTTTCTGTTTGCCTTGGCGGACTATCGTCGTCTCTTGGTTCCTCTTTCTCTTCAGATCAGAGCTTCTACTATGATCTAGCCTTGAACGAAGGGTCATCTTCATCTTCACCGTTTGATGTAACTGCACAGCCGTAGCTACTACACCCTGTGGGAGAGTAGGTCTGCTGATATCGCCATCAATGTTTGACATAAAGGCAGGGGTGAAAACGAGATAAACAAAATGAAAGAGGGGCAAAACGGTCATTTTACACAACAGCTGGCAACCTTTATATGCAACTAGTGTATATAGGTTTTTAGGGTGACTTTTTAGCTTTTTTGGTAACTTTTTGGCTTTTTGGCTAAAACAGAAGCATCCCAAACGAGGCCTTATTAGTGGTGATATTTGCCTTGAAAATTTGGAGGCACTACCTGTATGGTGAGAAATTTGAGGTATTTTCCGATCACAAGAGTCTAAAGTATCTATTTACACAGAAAGACTTAAATTTGAGGCAGAAGAGGTGGATGGAATTCATAGAGGATTATGATTTTGAGTTGCATTATCATCCGGGAAAGGCTAATATTGTGGTTGACGCCTTGAGTAGGAAATCAATTAGCAGTGTGGCTTGTATCGCCATCTGGGAATGGGAGATATTGAGTGCTCTTGGGGAGTTTGATCTGCATCTTGGTGAGTCAATTGAGTCTGTGGCCTTATTTATGGTGACTACTCAACCTACACTTGTGAACCAAGTGTTAGAAGCGCAAAAGAGTGACCTTGAAGTAGAAACCCTCAAGGAGAAGATTTCTAGTAGGAAAGTTGAGAGGGGCTTTAATGTGTATCCTGACTAGAGTGTGAGATACCGTGATCGTTTGTTCGTGCTGGAGTCTTACTGAGAGGAGGTACTCCGAGAGTTTCACCATTCACGCCTTGCGATGTATCTGAGAAGCTCAAAGATGTATCACGACCTTAGTCGTCAGTTTTGGTGGAGAGGTATGAAGAAGGATGTGGTGGCGTTTGTATCGAAATGCCTTACTTGTCAGCAAGTGAAGACCGAGCATCAGAGGCCAGCAGGTTTGTTATAACCCTTGCCTATAGCCAAGTGGAAGTGGGGGCATGTCGCGATGGATTTTGTTGTGGGTCTTCCTAGAATTCAACGAGGCAGTGTTGCCATTTGGGTGATAGTTGACCGGTTAACCAAGTCAGTGCACTTCTTACCTATGTGCATAAGTGATTCAGTAGACTATCTTGTCGACTTGTGTATTAGGGACATAGTGAGATTGCACGGGGTCCTTGTGACAATTGTTTCGGATAGAGATCTGCATTTCACAGCTCGATTGTGGCAGAACTTGCAGAGTGCTATGGACACTAGACTGACTTTTAGCACAGCATATCACCCTCAGACTGACAGGCAGTCTGAGCGTACCATTCAGTTCCTTAAGGATATGCTTCGAGGCTATGTCCTTGAATTCAAGGGTTCGTGGGAGAGGCATTTGCCCCTGGTGGAGTTTCTTACAATAACAGTTTCCAATCAAGTATTGCCATGGCACCATTTCAGACCTTGTACGGCCGACCGTGTAAATCTCCGGTGTATTGGGCCAAGGTGGGCGATGCACCTTTGTTGGGCCCAGAGTTGGTTCGAGAAACGATGGAGAAAGTTGCACTTATCTGTAAGAGGTTGGTTACGGCCCAGAGTCGCCAAAAGAGTTACGCTGACCGTAGAAGGAGACCCTTGTCTTTTGAGGTAGAAGACCATGTGTTCTTGAAAATATCACCTAGGCTGAGTTTGATGAGTTTTGATAAGAGTGGGAAGTTATCCCCTCGATTTATTGGGCCTTTTGAAATCCTTAAACGGATTGGAGATGTTGCTTACCGTTTGGCGTTGCTACCATAACTTTCCGAAGTGTATGACGTGTTTCATATTAGTATACTTCGGAAGTATGAGTCGGATCCATCACACGTGTTGGATTGGACCGACTTGGAGGTAGATAAGGATGCCTCATATAAGGAGAGACCAGTTAGAATCTTGGATACACGGGACCAAGTTTTGTGAGGCAAAATGATTCCCTTGGTTAAAGTATTGTGGAGACATCACGGAGTTGAGGAAGCAATTTGGGAAAGTGAATTAGAAGTCCGAGAGAAATATCCGAACTTGTTTGCTGATTCCTAAACATGTATTGAGATTTTGAATATGATAATGAAAAGTATAAGCATTGTATATGTTATGAAATTTTTGAAAACTCGTATTTGAAATAAACATTGTAAATGTTTTGGGAAATTGTAAATTTCATTTTAATATGGGACTTGTGTATCGAGTCGATGAGAATAGATGACCAGAGAATGGGTCATGGTATTGAATTTGTGAGAATAACATTGTTATGAATGGTCTAATGTTAATTTTGAACTTGATTTGTAATTTCGGGGACAAAATTCTTTAAGTGGGGAGGTTATAGTGATTCCGGTTTTGACCCGTCACTTGTTGTATCCCAGACTCGGATTTAATACTTTCATATTGTTGTTTACCTGTATCTCTTTAGAATTGATTTTCGGATTGTAGTTGTGCGTTTGGAACAAATTAGTTGCTTGTTTTTTTTCAAACCTTTATTGCCTAGACTTTTGCTGTTTCGCTCGAGCGACCATTCTTGCCCTCGAGCGAGCTTTGTAAATTTTTCTCCTCCGCTTGATTTTTGCACTCAAACGGGACTTGCGAACTCGCAGTACTTTGCAGGTCTGCAAAACTACTAGGAAAGTGTTTTCTACGCTTAAGCGGCGTTTCCTACGCTCAAGCAGATGTGCGCTCGAGCGGTCTTTCCTGTGCTCGAGCATTGGCTTGTTGTCTGCAAAACTTCTAATTATGTGTTCTCTAAGCTCGAGCGGAGAAATACTTGCGCTCAAGCAGGTAGCATTCGTTGTGTCTTGGCACTCGAGCAGCCTTTATTGTACTCGAGTAAAACAACTTTTTTGTGTCTGACGCTTGAGCGTTAACTCCTCCGCTCGAGCGGACTGTGCGTATATCAGATCGCGAAAAAGCTCCATTTTGACCCGATTGGAGTTGGGTTTCGGTGTCATTGAAGTTTCACCCTTGCTCCATTGATCTTCTAGACTTGAGGTAGGGATTTTCTACACTTTGTTATGGTTCTTAACTTAGTTATTTGTGGTTGTGTGACAATGGTGGATTTGGGGGGCATTTTAAACAAACCTATGGTTTGGGGGTAAATGGAAAGAGGGGTTTTTGATGAATGAGAAATAAATGGTTGTGGGGTTTGAAAATGATGTTTTGTGTGATCAAAATTATTGATTTTGGTGCTTGGTTGGTATTTGAAAAAAATGGAGGGGGGGTTGCCCTAAAAAGATTATGATATTTATCTTGTATAAATAAATGAACTTGGTGTTGTAAATATGAAATTAAATGAGTATTGAAACAAATGGTGGAATTGAGTGGATGATATGTCTTATCTTTGGAAATTTTGAATAAATTGTATGTCTAGAGAATATATAACTATTTAGAAATATCTGTATTGGGCTATCGGTGGAGGATAACTTTGATTGTTGTAGAAATTGCATGTAGATTAGGTGAATTGAAACGAATCTTTTGTTGGTTATCATTGAATATGATTATGTTTATATATATTGCATATGTATGATTATTTGGGAGGAGAAATGGGATGCACTCCATTGTTTGGGAGGAGAAAGGAGATGAACTCCATTATAATTAAGCTGGCCGGAGTGTCCTGGGTGAAAGTCCCGAAATTTATACATGGGTGCCAATCCCGCGGACGAAATATCCGTAAAATAGCAAATTGAAATTATACATGGGTGCCGCTCCCGCCGACGAAATATTCGTAAAATGGCAATTTGAAATGTTTGTATGTTGATGATGTGATTGTGGAACCGTTGAGTTGTAATCTCATTTGGGTTACTAAAAAGAAATAATGAAATTGGCTTATATATATTGAAATGAATTGGAGGAAAATGAAATGAAACATGGAATTGGTATCCTATGGCAATATGAAAGTATGAAAGTTTTATCCCAAGCATTGTATCTGCACATGCACTTATATCTTTGTTAAGTCTCATATATTGTGTTAGATCTTTCCTACTGGGTTATGGCTCACCCTATTTGGAAACAATATTTTCAGGTAATGATGGAATGCCTCTACCAAGGCAATAGCATTTGAGGGACTTTTTGGGAAGCAAGAGCTTCTTGTTTTGTTTCTTTTTGTATAGCCAATGGCTTAAATTGTATGGCCTATGGCTTAAATTATATGAGCTAGTCTCATTTTTGTGTAACTAAGCCAAGACTTTGAAAGATGTAAGTCTATAGGACATTTATTTATGTTAAACTTTCTGTACTATTTATGTTATGAAATAAAAGAACATCATACTATAATTTACGTTGTCAATCATGTATACTTTGGGTTATATTTATTATGTACTTTTGGGGCCGTTATACTTTTTCTATTTTTTTCCCTTCTAATCAATAGGGCATGTTAGAATGGGCTTCTCTCTTGTTACTGCATTATTTCTTATTGTTGTTTTGATTCTGTTTTTCTCAATTGTTTCTAAGGTTTTGTTGACATTTGTTAGCAAAGTCGTGCATGATACAATTATTTTAAGCTTGTTGACAAACAAAACTACAAGTGGTGGCAAGAATTGTTCCCTTCTAGCAAGAAAAGGTTATGAGGAGTCCCAATTGAATTCAAAATATGTAAACTGAAATAGTTTTTTGACTTGTGTAGAATGTGTAGTTAATGCAAAATTTTAATTTTCTTATTTGTCGTCAAAGTTTGTGAAACCGAATCTACTATTTATTGGGAAAAATTGGTACGTAAAAATAGCGTGACGGAATTCACAATTAGGGATAACAATTTGAACTCAATCCGACAAGGACTCGGTCCCCCAATCCCAATTAGAACGATTTTTCCGTGAAAATACTCTCGACGAAACAGGATTAGTATTCGAAAATGAATCATCGGCAAATTTTGTGCCGGAAAAGGTGATACATACCCCAGCCCGTCCCTGTCACCGTTCCCTAACGTAAAATTACTATTATACCCCTATAGATATAAACCAAACCCTAAAACCCAACCTCACACTCACACAAACACAGTTACTGAGACCGCCTCTCATCTCTCTCTCTGTCTCTCTCTCAAACCCTCCCATCACCGCTGATCTCCCTCCTCCTCCGCTGTCTTTGGCGAGAGAGAGCTGTGGTTAGGGTTTCCGATCCTCGGCGAAAGTGAACTCAGATCTGCAACGATCGAGGCCAGAACAAGGCGTCGCCGCTGGTGAACAAGGTGTCTCCATCACTGTGCTTCTTTCTCTCTGTTCTTGGTAAGCACTCTCTGCCTCTCTTTTCTTTCTGAGAATGGAAGGTGGAAAAAAATCTGTTTTCCCCATTGTTGTAATTTCATTGTTTCATTTTTCTTTTTATTTTACATCTCTGAAAGTTCTGATATGTGAATTTCACTACTGTAAACATGTAATTACTTCTCTCTCTGTTGTTTGTTCTATCTTGTGATATTCTATTGCAACTGAGGGTGAAAATCAGTTGAATATGAAGCGTGGTTTAAAAAGCTTTTGGTCTTTTTTGGGTCGGGGCTAGAATCTGGAAGTGTTGAGTTTGGTTGAGTTTTTTGTGGCTTTTACTCAGAAAACACTACATTTGTGGTTTGAATGGATTTAGATGACAAGCTCATGTTGATTTTTCTGGCTGCCTTTGTTGGGGGATTTGGTTAGAATGTATTTTTGCCCAGGCATTTGGTTAATGTTTATTTTCTTTTATTTTCAAAAACAGAAGTTTTGTTTAACAAATTGTTTTGAGAATTCTTTTTTTGATAACACCCTAATTTTTTTTTAGAAAATACATTTAATTGTTTTCTGAATTTTAAAAAAATATTTCCCATAAAAATGGTGTTTTCAAACTTCTATTTGAAAATGAAAACAGAAAATATCAAAAATGAAAGTGATAGCAAACAAAAAAAACTTCACCTTTCAAAATTTGCTTGGCCTTTCAAAAACTTCCAAACTGTTACATTCATTCCAAACAAAAAAAATTCCAGCTACCCCCCCCATCCCCGTTGGGAGGCGGGGATGGGGGCGGGGGTGGCGATGGGTTTCCTGCCGGGGATCAAGGGCGGGGACGGGAATAGGGAACGGGGAGTGTAATCCCCCGCCCCGTTGCCATTCCTATTTGGGTGCTCACATTATATAATAGAATATAATCTTGTTTTTATACAGTTTATTTTTTATTTTATTTTTTTGTGGGTGTTGGTGGTTAGGTTTGCAGGTGAAAGAACCAAAACCAAGATTGATGGGTTGTTTGAGTATTGTTTTGTGCATCCCATGATCATATTTGAGGTTGCTGTTTCAATGTGTGGATGTGTTTTAGTTTGTTTGTCATTTGCAAACTTGAGAATCTTTGTCCTGTTGATATTGTTAGTGACTGCGATTATCTACTGTTTGATTATTGCAGAAGTTGCCTTTTTGCAGAAGATGAGTTTGATTTCTCAAAACGTGGTTCCTAAAGACCAAACTGAGAAGGTTAAGAGGAAGGCTTCTGTCCAGCCTTCTCTCTTGGAAGCTGACCAAGAGATTGAAGATAGAAAAGAGAACAAGTCAGTTGCATACAAAAAAAAGAAGAGAAAGGAAGAGCGCAAGGAAGAGGACAAGATGTTGGAAATTGAGGAGGGAAAAAAAATGAAGAAGTTGGAAAACTTTTTGTTTGGTTCTTTGTACTCCCCGGTTGAATTTGGAAAGGAAGATGATGAGGAATTGAGAGAAGATGGGGTTGACAAAGGTTCTGCTTTGTTCTTTACAGATAAGTCTGCAAATAGCATACTTTCTGTTTATGAAGAGGATGCAGAATTCCAGGAGAGTAGTGATGGTGAAGAGGAAGCCGGGCAAAGAAAACCCGTATGGGTGGATGATGAAGAAGAAAAGGCCAGTATAAATATAGCTAAAGTCAACAGATTGAGGAAATTGAGGAAGGAAGAGGATGAGAGTGTGATCTCTGGTTCCGCGTATGTGTCTAGATTAAGGGCTCATCACGTAAAATTGAACCCTGGAACAGAGTGGGCCCAACTTGATTCACGACCCAGGAATTACAGTTCTGATGATGAAGATTCCAATATAGAAAATGGGGCAGCTCACAGTTATAATGATGTTGAAGGTGTCGACGACATTCTTAGAACAAATGAGGACCTTGTTGTGAAGAGCAATGTGAAGCTATTGCCTGGACTCCTTGAGTACTCAAGATTAGTAGATGCAAATGCAGATGATCTTTCCAATTCTCCAATAAATTCAGTTCAGTTCCACAGAAACGCTCAATTGCTCCTTACTGCTGGATTAGATAAAAAGCTGAGATTTTTTCAGATAGATGGCAAAAGGAACACCAAAATACAAAGCATTTTTCTAGATGATTGTCCCATTCAGAAGGCGTGTTTCTTACCTGATGGATCTCAAGTAATAGCATCAGGAAGAAGAAAGTTTTTCTATAGTTTTGATCTAGTGAAAGCTACGGTAGATAAAATAGGCCCACTAATTGGCCGAGAAGAGAAGAGCTTGGAAGTTTTTGAGGTTTCACCCGATTCTAATACACTTGCTTTTGTGGGGAATGAAGGGTATATTTTGTTAGTTTCATCCAAAACAAAGGAACTTATTGGAACATTGAAAATGAATGGGACTGCTCGATCATTAGCGTTTGCTAATGATGGGCAGCATTTGCTGAGCTCTGGGGGCGATGGACATGTTTACCACTGGGATTTGAGAACAAGGGCTTGCTTCCACAAGGCTGTTGATGAAGGTTGCATACATGGTTCGGCTCTTTGTACTTCTCCAGACGGATCTTTGTTTGCAGCGGGTTCAGACAGTGGGATTGTGAATGTTTACAACAGAGAAGAGTTTTTAGGGGGAAAGAGAAAGCCAATCAAGACCATTGAAAATCTCACCACAAGTGTGGGTTTTATGAAATTCAACAATGATGCTCAGATTTTGGCCATCAGTTCGAGCATGAAGAAGAACAGTCTCAAGCTAATTCACGTTCCATCATTTACTGTGTTCTCTAACTGGCCTCCACCAAATCGGACACTACATTATACGTGTTGTTTGGATTTTAGTCCCGGTGGTGGTTTCATGGCTGTGGGAAATGCTGCTGGAAAAGTGTTATTGTACAAGTTGCATCATTATCATTATGCATAGAGAGCAAATCTAGCTAATATCAGCAATATTCTATTACAGGGAGCTCCCAAGTCAATGCAGCGTTCCTCTTTCCCATTGCGGTGTTTCAAGTGGATGTGAGCTTTTAAGGCATTCAGTTGCAGATTGAACACTGCTTCTCTATTTTGTTTTTGTTTTTTATATTTGTCATGAATCACATTTTGTTTTTCATAATATGTTTTGTAGAACGTTTCACAGTTGAACTTCTAGTATTTTCCTGTAATTTTGCTGGATGATGATTAATTTATGAACTAGCTGGTTGTAGTGAAAGTTTGATTTGGTCATCATTGATTTTGTAGTATTACCTTCTTATAAATTTCTTGGAAGGGCTTAACAATTACCGAACTCTGTGCTAAGGGGTCCTGAGGCCTCTGCCATTCAATTTCATTGCCTGTTGTTGTACCGAAACTATCTAATTACACAAATTACACAAGGAAAATAAATGTCCCAACATAAGACCGTTGTTCTTTCTTCTTTCTTTTTTTAGTAGGGAAAAAGGACCAGGCTGGTGTGGTATCATTTCTTCTTTTCTGTGTTGTTTTATTTATTATAATTTGTTATTTTTAAAAACAAAAATTCGAAAGCACTCCATTTTTTTATTTTGTGCAAAAATAGTGTGTTGCTTAAAAAAATGGCTAATTCTAAAAATAAATAAATAAATAAAAATAGGATGTCAAACAAATTTCTATATTTTCCCGCCACCCCCCTCCCCAATGGACCCCCATCCTATTCCTCAAGCCCTAACCCCACCTCCATCGCCACGAACAAACAGAAAGAATCGTGTGTGTGAGAGAGAGAGAGAGAGAGACAGGATGAAGACTGATGGCCAGGGGAGAGGAAGGGTCAACGAGGACTAGGGTTGGCGGTCAGAGCTGGAAAGGGTGGGGAAAGGGATGGGATGACTGTTGGGTGTGGTGGTTACAACAGGAAGGGAAGAAGTTGGTGCCGTAAGGTGGGTGTAGAGAGAGATAGAGAAATGAGGGTTTGTAGAGAATTAGAGTTGCCTTTGTTGATTATTTCACTTGGGGACATAATGGGTTTAGGGTCTAAAAATGATAGAATGTCCAGTAGTCTCTTGGGGATGCATTTAAAGGCGCCAGCATCATTTTGTAAACTTCTGGAGCTGAGATCTCAGTTGCCCTCTACCTCTAGGTTCCAGTCGTCCTTTTCATATGGTTAGCAGCACCATAAGCAAAATATTCTGGCAACATACCAATGTTTAGTGCAACATACCATTTGTTTAAATTCGAACTACACCAATAAAAAATTCAGAATACAGTTGAGTGCAACATACCAATGTTTCAAAATCATCACTAGAAGTTACAGTTTCATAGATTTACAATGGAACTTATTTCGGACTCCTAGCAAATCCTCAATTTGAACCCAAATCCTCAGTTCGAGCAAGAAATATATATCATTTGTATTAAATAGACCAAAAACAAACCAAAAAAAAAAAAAACTTCATCGTGAAACCATCGCTCTGTAGGCATTGCAATAACTTATCTGTGGCTAATATGCATTCTGCTAGTGTACAATATTGGATTTGGACCATCACTGATCGACGGTGGGGGAGGGGAAGGGTAACGAACTGTTTACTATATATCATTGGCTTTTGGCTTTTTGAAGGAACAAAAATCACACTACGTTACTAAGCAACTACTACTCAAAACTTTATCCATTACTGAGGATCGATCATCCATAGCCTCGACATCCTATGCTCTTCACAATCCTTCCAAGATCACTGCTGTGAGTCAACATCCAGGTTTCTGTATTCCATTAGTGGGATTCGACCTTCAATATCCAAAGGCAACCTACCTGCCAAACATTAAGGGAATCATATGACGTTTTTATAATGGGCAACAGAGCAAAAAATTTAAAACTTTAATTAACATTATTTTTACCCCATCATACGAAAATTCTATTATTTAAGCAAGATATAGAAACTGCTCTTTATGAATCCATCAGTCAGACAAGAACAAATCAAGAAACAAGAGGTAGATGAACCAAAAATGATGAAGATCATGGAAAGAAAAAAGAGGACAATTTTATGTCATCATATTAGGTTCAAGTACTTGGGGGTATTATGATAAATCAGTAATTTCATTAATTACTAGACATGAGTAGTAGTCATAGTCCATGGGTTATATCTGAATTTTATTTGGAGCTAGTTGTTCTAAAATATTAGTAGTTACCAAATATTCTTAGTTTCTAAATTTGAGTCATAGTCCTTGTAGAATGAGAGTCTCTATCCTATAAATGATTCAAGTAAGGGCTGATATTATGAGAATTTGAGATTGTGTTTGTGTGTGATTGGCCTAAACCCTTCCAAGGGTGAAGCAATTGATGGCGTAAGCATTGACTACTTTATTGCTCTATTTAGCAGTTTTCCATGAAAAGAAACCTTCACATTTCTCAACCAAAACCCTTTCTGAAAAGAAAATAGGGGAATCAAGAATTTTTAGAAGAGAGGTCAACAAAGTGTACTTTTTGGATGAATATATAAGCCCACGATACGAATGCAATATGTACTTGTTCAACAAGCATTTTAAGAAGACATGGACAAAATGGTTAAAAGAACATAAATGGTAAACCTGCAATCACCAGGGCTGTCACCAAGGACAGATGAAGGATTTTGACCTTGGAGGGACAAATGTATGTGTAACTAAAAAATTTATAATGAATGTGTGCATTGCAATTTTAATTTCTATCAACACCAAATGTTAAAAATAACACAAACTATATTATTAGATGTTTTTATTCAATGCATATAATTTAAAAATATATATAATCAAAATACAATAGTATATATATATGTGACCATATAACTTTCTAGCTCATCATACATCAGGTTTTTACCACACTTTACACAACTAAGGAATTGTTGACAACTTTTGAATTTTGGGATATTCAAAGATTACTAGTCCTAATAGTTTTACAATTAAAATTTTAAATGCAACTTTTTTACTATGTGAAGTTATTGAGAAAATTTATTTGCAAACTTGCAAAAAAAAAAAAAATTATTTTTGTTTTATTGGCATTGGAGTGTCCATATCAAAAACCGACTAATTCGTAGGGGTGCATAGGCCCTCGGCAAGAAGTTTCTCACAAGTGAAGCCGAGCTAAGAACAAGTAACTCAATTGTATCTTTCTTAAATTGGTTGTTCAATTATTACAAATATCTTAAGTTTTTGAAGGTCTGGCAAAGAAGAAAAAAAAAAAAAAAGAAGAAATAAAGATAACCGAAATAGAGGAATAAGAAAAGGAAAAACTAAAACAGAAGTAGTTTGAAATAGATATTGAGAAGAGGGAGAAATCAAAAACGAAGGATAGAGTTGAAAAAAAACCAATATATATATATATATATGATGAAAAACCGGAACAAAAGAGAATAAGAAGAGCAGAAGAAGAAAAGGAATTGAAACAAGGAAAAGAACAAGAGAGAGAAACACATTTGAAGTCGGAGAGTAAAGATTGAAACTTGAAAATATGACTGAGTTGAAGATCCAAGTTGCTACAAGATGCTTCCCGAGTCTTTTTTTCCCTAAAAGTTTGTCCTAAATTCATTTTCTCCACATGGGTAACTATGCGTTTTGGGCTACAACTATGACATGATACAAAATTTCGCAAAGGCCCATTACTGATAGAAACATAATGAGTAGCAGAGTACAAACATTTCTTTCCTTCCTTCCACAAGATCGAGTGGGTTGGAACAACCTTGTATGTGTGCCACTCGTGCGAAGAAGTTCTTTTTGCTATAGCCTTTATAAAAGTTTTTAAGAGTAAATAAAGGCATAATGGTAGTATCGCGTTTTTTTTTTAGGGGGGGAGGGGTATAGCTGAAGTGGAGGTTTAATGAAATGTTCACGAGATACTTATAATAATGGGAAATTTTATTTGAGTAGATTATGTTACCTGCTTTTTCTATAACACGGCAAAGTAAAAAGGTACCTAAGAGCATCTCCAATGGTGTACCAAATGTTTCACCAAATCTGAGTAAAAAATGGGTCATTTTCTTAATTTGATACTTCGCGCTCCAACGGTTCAACATCAAATCCGTTTCATCAAATTTGCGCTGGGCAACCGGTTGGTTGACCGGCCGGTCAACCGGTAACGGCAAAATTTATTTTTTTTTTTTACCGGTTTGAACCTTTTTTTTTGAACTTTTTCAACTTTTGGTGGTCGACCGGGTGGTCAACCGGCCGGTCGACCGGGTGGTCGACCACCTAGGCAAAAAAAATTTTTTTTTTTTTTTTGACTGGTTTCAACCTTTTTGTGAACTGTCTGAACTTTCTCCGGGGCGACCGGTTGGTCAACCGGATGGTCGACCCATTCGTCTCATCCCAACGGTTAGGAACAGTGATTTGGTGAAATGCTTCGCCTGCACTCAGTTTGGTACCATTTTTGTTGAATTCTGGATTTGATATCGATTTGGTGAAAACGTTGGAGCTTAAAAAAGTGGCTTTTTCACCAAATTTTAAATTTGATGCCATGTTTGGTTCACCGTTGGAGATGGTCTAACCATATGTTACCTAAAAATAAAAGGTAAAATAATCTTAAATTTTTATTATAAAAAATCATAGGGGGGCGGGTATTAAATTTCTCAAAAAAATCTCAAGGGAGCTAACCTATATAGTTCAAAAAATATTTTAACTCATACAACTATATTTCAGGAGATTTTTCAAAATTTTGGAGTGGCAGTCACATTGTCAGTCCCCCACACCAAGAAAAGGGAAGAAAGTAAGGTTTGTCAGCAGCTGATACTAAAATTCCAAACTACTTGCAGTAAAAAATCATGACACTGAAACAATGTTTTTGACTGATTTTACAGAAGATGGGTGAACATTCAATTATATGTGCCAAAGTACTTCTGTAACATGCAGGGTCATACAGACACCATAGTTTTTTTTTTCTTTCTTTTTTATTTTTTTTTTAGTTTTTATTGTGATACAAACACCACAGTTAGATATCATAACTTCTTATTAGATGTCTTACTTCTGTTTAAGGGAAATAAACAGATAAGGAAGAAGAAAAGGGAAAGGAAAACAGCAACAAACAAAACAAAAAATAACAAGGAAAGTTGATACCTTAAACAATCGCTGTGAAGGCGCTTAAGTAGTAGTTATGCAATTGTTCTTACCTAAAAATGAAATGTGGTACAATGCTAAACCCCTGCTGCAGCTTTAACCACAGAGTCCATCGTCCCCTGAAACAATTTAACATGGGATAATAAGTCAATTAATACAATTTGTGAACATGAAAAAACTGGGTACAAAAATATCTAAAAGCACATAAACTGCGAGTATTAACTAAGAATCTAGTCTTCAATACAATATTAGATTGTCATTACCTAATGTTTACCAATATAGTACATTAACAAGTTAAATTGCTAGTATTAATTAAAAATCTAGTATTCATCTTTTTTCTTCTTTGGGTTGGGTAGGCAGAAGCAGCAAGAAATCCATAACTTCAAAAATTAAAGGAATATAAGTAAGAATTTATGTATTAGAATCTAGTCTTCGATACAATATTAGATTGTCATTACCTAATGTTTACCAATATAGTACATTAACAAGTTATATTGCTAGTATTAATTAAAAATCTAGTATTCATCTTTTTTCTTCTTTGGGTTGGGTAGGCAGAATAACTTCAAAAATTAAAGGAATATATTTATATAAATATCTCATAATTGACCAGGTTCTAAGTAGACAAAACCTCCGGTGGAGGGCCGTTTCGAATCTTCCTTGTAGGAGTCCTCATAGTGACAAACTCCTCAGCTGAAGTAGGGTGAATACCCACTGTGGCATCCAATTCAGCCTTTGTCAAGCCAGCTTTCACAGCAACTGCAAATCCCTGAAATTCAATTGAACAAAATTCTAACAATTGTAAATATTGTAACAATTTCAGAAAAGCACTGAACTTAGAGGCTGGAAAACCTGCACAATTTCTGGTGAATCCTCTCCACACATGTGCAACCCAAGGACTTTGTTTGTCTTTGCACATACTATAAGTTTCATGAAAATCCGGTCTGGAAGTCCAGAAAGTGTAGCCTTTAAGGGCCTCAAGTTTGCTGTGAAGATGTCAACATCACCATATTCATTTACAGCCTGCAAAAATCCTTAAATAATAAGCACAACAAGACAATTGAAGCTGTTGCAGATATAGTTCACAATTTGCAACACCTGTTCTTCCGTAAGGCCGACTTGTCCAATAGGTGGCTGGGAAAACACAGCAGATGGAATAGCCCTACTCAAAAGCAGATAATCTGGTCAGAAAGCTACTGGTCATGAACGTAAATCACCATTACTGAATAAATATTCAACTAAACTTTCTCCTTAGAAACTAGAACGCAATATAAAGCACAATCCAAGGGTTATCAAATAGCCTCCTAGATTCCGACATACAGATCAAACTAGGAAATAAGTGTAGAAAACAGTCTAATGGTCATTAAATGGTCTCCTAAACTCCCACAAACCCAATACGCTACTAACCGATGCATCCCTAGGAGCACTTCAGAGATTTTCCCACGTGCATAAGGCTATTATACAATTTATCACAGGATATGTAAAATACCTATGATCCGGTTTTGTTGGTTCATTCCTAAAAAGAGTTTTCGCCAATGCCCCTCCCTCCATTAAAGCAACTGGAGTTAAATTCACCCTATCTGTAACATCTCCAACAGCCCAAATGGATGGAACTGATGTACGGGAGAACTCATCAACCTAAAGAAATATTCAACAGAAAGCAATACAAGGAAACGCACCAGGTTGAAGAATTAGAGAGAGATAAAGTAATAAAAGTAAAAGAGAAGTCTAAAACCAAAGACACTACCTCTATTGCTCCATTCTTTGCCATTTTTACCCCTACCTTCTCCAACCCCAAATTCTGCAATGGAATAGGAGTCCATGTATCAATCATCGAAAATTGGTTAAGCATACACATTTTCAGCACAGAAATCATATAAGCTCTATTAAGAAATTGTATGACTTCTCCAAGCTTGATCACTTTCAACTTTATTAGGTTACCAATTTCTGAGCACCAAGTCAAAATATGAAGTACGAAAAAAAATGATGACAGAGAGGAACCATGACCCCAAGGCCTGTGCAGAGAGAAGACAACCAAAACATTAAAAAATCAAACCTTTGTATTAGGCTTGCGGCCTGTTGCAAACATAATATGAGAAAAACCTTCAACTGTTCCTCTGTTAGTTTTCAAAGATAGTGAACCATCTGCCGATTTAATGATAGCCTGAGGTGACTCCTCTGTGTGAAATTCAATCCCTCTTAGAGACATCTGTTCTGCAACAAAATCTCTGACCTATGGCAATCAAAGAATGCAAGATTTGTAGCATGAGGAGAAACTTTTGTCCAAGTATGACTAACCAACTACACTAATGTTGTTTGTTATTCCTCACCTCCTCATCAAAACCTCTCAAAACCTTTTTCTGTCGTATGAATACATGGACGTCACTTCTCAAACCATTAAAGATGCCAGCAAATTCAAGTGCAATGTAACCTCCCCCAACTATTGCGATTTTTTCAGGTCTTGAAGGCAAATCAAGGGCTGCATCTGAATCTATTGCATATTCACTTCCGGGAATTTCAGGAATGGAAGGGCGTCCCCCAACTGCAACTAGTATGTGCCTTGCCGAGTAGAGTTTCCCATCTACATCCACTGTGTGTGGGTCCACAATCTGTGTATACAGACATACAAGTCAATGCAATAGTTACAAAAACAATGAAATGTCAATACATGTCAATGGAATTTTTTCCACAAATACTATGCTAAAATGTTATTACGGGCCACACAACATCCAACCTTTCCACGCCCTTCAATCAAAGTGACACCAGCATTTTTCAGAATGTTCTTGTAGATACCAATAAGGCGCTGCAATTCAGCATTCTTATTAGCCATCAGGGTGCTCCAATCATGCTTGGGTTCAGTTTCATATTTCCATCCAAAACCATGACTCTCTTCAAATTCGTGAGAATATTTGGATGCGAACACAAGTAGTTTCTTTGGTACACATCCACGAAGCACACACCTTCATGCCAAAAATATTACATTTGTTTACAAACAGAGAAAATTTCAACAACGAAAACTTTAAAATATAAAGAATACTGATGATCTGTAATGAATTTGAACTGAATGAAAAGAAAATAACCTTATGCCTCTTTGAATGTATATGTAGAACAGACATAAAGGAACTTGCAGGTGTGTATTCAAACATATTTGACAATGCCAGGTCAAATCAAATTCTTAACTAAAACCAAACAAAATCAAATTCAAATATATGCAGCTGATAACAATCTGGCTATTTTGACCTTCATATTGTTGTATCAAACGCATACACCAGTGACGTAATATGAATAAAAGAATTACTGCTGCACATATACCACAATCACACAAAGCAGACAAAGATTTACATCTTTTTTTCATATTTTTGTGTGCAAGAAACATCATCACTTCATGTGACTAAGGCCATCTACGCCAAGCGATGTTAGCTCACTTGCTCTTATGTGATTCCAACTCCTTCCTAGAAAAATTTCCAAGAGAAAAATTACTAGTATAAAGAAGCTTCATGACATTCAATGGGGATTGGCAAGATTCATGCAAAAATATAACTGAAATTCTATCAGAAATTAGAAAACATCCCAATGCAACTGGCCCTTATTCCTGAAATTTGCATATTTATTTGAATATATATATGTTCTCAGCATGAATTTGGGTATCAAAAGTCTTTCAATCCTTTTGCCCACTGAAACAAAGACAATGACAGAGCGGCCTGTGATTGAGTAATAGATTGATTGAAAATCATTTATAATATGAAATTATAGCAATTTAAACATACCAAGGTTTCAGACGCAATCAACACAATAACCCAAGGTTCTTACTTCCAAAACCTGAACTTGTGTTGTGGGATATTATAGCAATATCTTTTGGTTATTCCTATTAACTGCACTTTCAAGATCAAAATGACAATACAACTGCTTAACTAAAACTTTCTGATCACACTTCCTAACAGAATCACACAATGAATTCCACAAGAACCATCAGTTGAAAATTCATAAAACACCCGTCGACTTCTCATTAGGGTACTCAATTACACAAACCACAGTCATGATTGCCACCTATCAACCGACTATAAGCTTTCTTCTTGGAACTCACAAAATTTTGAATCAGAAAACGTAGAAGATGCAAGAAAACATTCTTTCCTCTCCACCAAACAATTGTATCAGTTTAGTTTAGCTTCTTCTACAAAGCATTCTTAGAGCATCTCCACTCCTCAAATCAATTTTTTCATCAAATTCAAATTTGATGAAAAAAAAATGACAAAGTGTGCTCCACCCATGTCATCAAATCCGTATCAAAGCATTTTTTCACCAAATCAACAATGAACCAAATCCAAAACCCAAATTTTCAACATTCATGTTTTTACTCAATTTGATGAAATTTTAAGAAGACTAAGGATTGGAGATGCTTTTTCTTTCATAAAAAATGGTTAGAACAAGTTTTTAAGAAAAGTTGGTAATTTTTCAAAAAGATTTGATGAAATCGAACCGTACGAATTGTAGTGTTCTATATCAGATAAAGCTTTTAACCCAATTTTCACTCACATTTGATGAAAAAACATAAAAAGAGTAAGAATTGGAGATGATTTTAAAACATATAAAATGCTAAAAATAAAGCAGTACATCTGAAACTTAGTTAAAGCAAATGAACATCCATACACAACACATACACACACACACACACACATATATATATTTACACGAAATTGAGTACTTACGTTCCCCCAACGCCTCCGCTAGTTTCGGAAGATATGGTGGCGAAAGGAAGCTCACAGACGGCAACGGAAGCGCCGAAATTGGCGGCGAAACGAGAAGCCCTAACGCCGCCGCTGCCGGCGCCGACAGTGAAGAGGTCGAAATCGTAGTGGCGAGGCTCGGCGCCATTATCGGACTCCGCTCGAGCTGAGAAGCGACGGTGGTGGTGGTGAGAGAAAGAGGGACGGAGGCGGCGAGGAGAGAGAAAGAGAGGAGAGGAGGGAGAGTGAGGAGAGAGAAAGGGATGAGAGAGAGAGATTGGAAGGGTTCTACGGAGGGTTTGTAGGGTTGGGGAAGAAGAGAAGGTTGTGCTCAGCCTTGGTGCGCTCAGAGAGGTCGCCATTTCTGCTACAAATAATAAATAAAATGCATAATCTAGTTCCATTTATAGACCCTCCATTAATTCATTTCTTCTTTAAAAAAATTAAAAATTAAAAATTAATAGGAATTGTTTGAGGTTTGCTTAGGCCAAGTTTGGGAAGACTAAATAAGTGCACTTTTTGACTTTTTATGAAATATGGGTTGGATTTGGGTTGTGTTTGAAATGATGTGTTAGAGAGGTGATGTGACTTAAATAAGATGATGTGACTTAAATAGGATAGTGACTTTTTGACTTTTTGGATTTTTTGGAGGATGCCAAACTTAGCCTTAGTGTATTTTTTAATTTTTTATATATCTTTTTAAATTTTTCTTTTATAAAAAAGATATATAAATTTTTTTTTATAAAAAAGATATATAAAAAAATGTAGAGGTACTGTACTTGTTCAGCTCTTATGTTAACTTCAAAATATATATGGATAAAGCTAGGGGTGAGCATGGTTCGGATTGGACCGGATTGGGATAAAATCAAGACCAATCCGTTATCTACGGTTTTTGAAAAATTGGAACCAATCCAATCCGTTTAAATCATGGAACCAATCCGAACCAATCCGTTTAAATACGGATTGGATCGGTTTAGGACCACGGATTCACATAATTAAATAACAAAAAAATATATATAACACTTTAATTTCATAAACATAGCGCTATATTAGTTCCACAATAGCAACATCTATTTCTATAATAGCGACATACTGTGCTAGAATTTAAACAACCATAAGAAAACTGGTTTCACCATAAGTATTTAGACCATTACAAATTAAAATTAAAAACTAACAAACAAAAGTAATAAAAGAAGATATTATACGATTTTAGGTTTGAGTTTAGATTTTATATAGAATAAGAAAAGATACTATGGGGGAGGATGTATAATAAAAATATATACTATTTGTATACGGTCCGGATCGGTTCCAATCCGGAACCATGGGGTTCAATCCGGAACCAATCCGTGTACTACGGATTTTTAATTTTTCAATCCGGAACCGAACCACGGATTCAAAAAATCAATCCAAACCTATCGGATTGGACTGGACTGGATCGGATTACGGATTTCACGGATTCCTTGCTCAGCCCTAGATAAAGCTTGGGAGCTCATTCTCCCCTGAATCTCCCGAAAATGGAAACAGAGGGGAACAGAGGGAAAAGAGGGTGAAGGCAAGAGAGAGAGAGAGAGGGAGAAAGAGAGAGGAGAGGAGAGAGGGAAACAGAGAGAGAGAGGGAGAGAGAAGCTCGGCCGATCGCCGATCGTCGCAGCAGCTCGCCGATCGTTGCAGCAGCTCGGCCTCCGCCTTGCCTCCGCCGCGCCTCCGCCCCTGGTTTATGCCCCCTCCTGTCCAGTTCTCCTTTCTCCCTTCTTCTTCTTCTTCTTCTTCTTCTTCTTCTTCGTTTCTGATTCAACCAAAAAACAAAAAAATGGAAAAACGACGTCGTTTTTGAAATTAGGGGGATTCGGGGGGCTGGTTTCGAGCTACGTAGCATTACTCAAAATATATATATATATTTTGTATGATAGTATATGTAATAAAAAAAATATACAATCTTTTTAAAATTATTCTAATATTAACAGTACTCAATAGAAAAATAAAAAATAAATTTTGATTTGTTTATAATAATTTAAATAAGTATATTTTTTAAATTTTTTACAAAAAATATATATATAAAGTAATAAAGAGATAATATAATTCAAATAAACCGTGGTGTGATCTAAATATGATAAAAAAAAATATACTAAAGTACGGGATGCTTGTGTGATAAAAGTTCTAAGCATTTTGTGTATGGGGGCAATGTTAGAGACCATTAAAAAAGGTGCTCTAAAGCAACCACTAACAATGTGGCACCTACTTTAAAAAAAAAAAAAACAGACACAACAACATTGTGGGAGTGGGTGATGGTGGCACTAATTAGTGTTTGTTCCTACCCACTGCTACAATGTTGTTGTGTTTGTTTTTTTTTTCAAAAATGCTTTAGACCATTAATTAGTGGTGGCTCTAATGAGGTGGCAGTGGGTTCTACCTACTGCCACATGTGTTTTGTGCCTTGTTTTTTTTTTTTTTTTTTTTCAATTGTCACCTCACTAGTGGTGGGATTAGTGATGATAAATTAGTGATCTATAGCATTGTTCTTTTTTTTTTTTGAAAAAGTAAATGCCACATCATTAGTAGTTGCTTTAGAGCACCACTTTTAGTGGTCTCTAGCATTGCCCTTACATAAAATATATCTCAAATTTTGTTTAACTTAGGCCTATTTTGAAAATATGGTTAAAGATTGATTTTTTTTACTTTTTTGACTTTTTTTTAAAAAAATATGTAAAAAATGTGAAAAATAATATCACAAAAAATAAGTTAAAAACTGTCTTTTAACTTTCAATTGGCTTCTCAAAAGAAGCCTTAAACTCAACTCCATAAACTTATATACATAAAAAAAAAAATTAAGTCACTGAAATTCTATTTAATTAACACTTGTTTGTGATCAATTCAAAAGATTAATACATAAAACTTAAACATATTTTAAAATACATTAGAACATTAAATTAAATTTAAATAATTTACTATTTAACTCATTTATTAGAGGCCTATAAAATTTACATTTTTATTATATATAAGCCCGTAAAATATCTCAAACATTCATCACTTTGGTAATTTTATTTAATATAATTATCAGTACATAGTGATAATTTCATAAACACAAAAAAGTTTAAAATTTTCCTCGTAATCAAAACAAGACTTCAGTACGTGAAAAAATAAAAAATACTCAAAATTAGTGAGTAAATAAATCCAATTAATAGGTAACTATTATTCCTCAACGTTGTGTTTAGTTGAAAATTTTGAGTAGAAATTTTTTTAAAAATAAAATAAAATAAGTGAAATATAAATAAAATATATTTACATTTCATTTAGTTTCGCACACCTTTTCTCTTTTTTTTTCTAAATCGTTTCTCAAATCTTCCAACCAAACACCGCTTAAATATTTTTGATAGATGATGGAACTTCAACACAGAGTATGTATCTCACAATCTAACTAAGAGAGGATGAAGAACAACATCCATTTAACAAGTTCGAAATCTTCTCTCCTTTTTTCCTTTTTTTGAGGCAATAAACAACTCTATTGAACAAAACAAGAATGAACTTTTTTAAAAAAAAAAAAAAAGAACTTAAATTTGATGAAATTCAAGCCTTGGCCCAGAACACAGTTTACAACTTCCCAAGTTTAATCTAGAAGGATCAAAATTATAATTTTATATTTCTAAAAACTATAATGAACACCAAATATTTCTTCCTATGAAACACAAAATATGAGCCAACTAAATACATCTTTAATTGAATATGACTAAGGTTCATTTTCCTGATGGCCAAGTAAAAAGCATATCTCAAGCTAAAAATCTAACACTCATTTACTTCTTTATGGAATCTTTAAAATTCCAAACAAACCACCTAGATTCGACGCAGCACCACTAAATCCACCATGAAATGGGGCCCAAACCATCAGCATCAAGTGAACCCTGCAAAAAATATTAAAAACTCAAAAAGTAATTAGAGTAAATTCTACATGCTAAAATCACTTTCAGTTGAGAAAAATGAAGGATCAAAGTTTTTTTTGATGAAGCACTTCTGCGTTACTTCAACAGTAGTGCTTAATGGATGAAAAGTTTCCTCTTCCATAGAGAGAATTATTATTTGAAAACTTAATTTAGACCCAGATCTTTTCAACGTTCAAATTCAAATGTCAGTATTTTAAGTAATAACTCAAAGTTGTCCCTTGATGCAATCCTACAGTGATCGGAAATTCACTAATTTTTCCTGCAAGTGATCTAATTTTAGGAGAGCCTAACAAACAAAATATGGTAAAGTTGCTTCCATATATATTTCAATAAGCAAACTTTTGATATTAGCCTCATACTGAGGCTGCTCTTAACAGCCTGTGGATGGTTGCCTACTGACACTATATCACAGCCTTCAAAAGAAAAGATAGCTCAAGGAGAAGCCATAGCTAAGGCAAAAAAAAAAAAAAAAAAAAGAAAAGAAAAGAAAACACACAGGGAAGTTAATTCAAAGGTTAACTTACAGTAATCAACATGGGAGCAAATGGCTTCGGTATTGATTTTTTTTGTTTTTGTTTTTCTCGCTCATCTGGTATACCTTGTTTTTGTTTGTCTTTTTCTCGTTCATCTGGTTTTGCTTGTTTTTCTTTTTCTCGCTCATCTTGGTTTTTTTCTTTTTCTTGTTCAACTGGTATGGAAGGATAATTTATGCTCTGAACACGAAATCGAATCTGCAGTTAAACACAGGAAGTAAAAAATCAATTAAACGCCAATAGAAAATTTAACTTGCGTTACTGAAGAACCTAAAAGCATGAAAAAACCTCATCTATTCCATCTATAGGATAATTTTCTTGTCCAAACTCCCATATCCATCTGATTTGTTCCCTGAGAGAGACAAAAATGTAAGAGAAAAAGAGGTCACGCACCTGCTACACAGAATTGATATAGGACTTGATAAGGTGTTCAAAATTCTATTCAAATTACAAATGAATAGTGTATTCTTACTTATTTTCTGGGTCAGGCTCAGAATGGGATGGATTTGGCATTAGATGAACAGGTACATAGATATCATCAAAAAAACCAAGTGATACTGCCAATTATAAGTTCAACATCAGTATACACAGGTGGTGTTTTAAAGTTACAATTATTGAGAAATTAAAATTTGGGGATCGATGGCAACTTCTTTAATTTACCATTGAAAGATAAATGTCATATACGAACAGAGTTGAATATAATGACGAAATCAACAAAACATCATTGTTTTTTAGAGAATTAGAGGGAAAGAAGAAAAGAAAAAGGAGCGTCAGATAAATAATGGTGCGAAAAGAATGCACAAGATATAAAAAGATAAGTTTTGTATCATTCCACAGCTAGTAAACCAAGCTTACTATGTTATATGCAGTGTTAAATAACTCTTCTATTCTTCACGGTGTACCCAAGTCCAAAGTTTCAAAAGGCTTTACTGAGGCTCACCTCAATGCTTGCCTTGAGGCGAGGCTAAGGCAAAATGCTTCAAGGCTTTGATTTTTAGGCTTTACGCCCCCAAAGGCCTCCGCACAAAGTCTGAGACATGCGCCTTAAGTGCGTCTTGTACGCCTCTTACGCATAAGAATGTGAGGCATGCGCATATGAAGAGTGTCTTAAGATCTTATTAAACTTAGTCAAATAGATGGTTTTTTAAAATTTAAAAAATACAAAATAAAAAAATATATATATCTTTTGCAACTATATTTTATAGGAAAAGTTAAGTAAACGACCAATCAAGAAAAAACACAAAGTCAATGATCAATGAGAAGCTTAATCTCTAAGCTAAAAATACCAATTTCACTTTCAATAAAGCAAAGCTTCCTTCTCTTTAGTTATATTTAATTTTGATATATTTATTTATTATTTTAAAATATTTACTAAATATAAAAATTTAGAATTTGAAATGCTTACACCTCAATGCCTCAAATCTTACACCTCACCTCATGAGAGGTAAAATGCCTCATGTTATGCATTCGCCTTTAAAAACTTTGCCCAAGTCCACCGGATTTGACAAGGGCAAAGGTGTGTGCTAAGAAAGGCACCCAAAAAGTTTGGTAAGCTGATTATGTTAAATCAGAGAAGCAGTTGGGGAACGTCACACCATCTTCTCCTCAGTACCAGGATGGCAAGAACGGAGGTGCGGACCTCAGAGAAAAAATGAATAAATCATGATCAATCAAGCATTCAGATTTGGAGAGCTCCTGATGACATTTTTTCAGAAGGGAAATAACAGTACAAAAACCAGGGGAAGCCACCACCTCTTGATGTTCAAGCCATTGCAGCAATCCCACTGAAGCAATTTTCAATCAAAGGGTCAGATGCATCACCAAATGACATAAAGTCCACAAGCAGAAGGGGCGCTCTCAGGTAAGTTGCCGGAGCTCTCAAAGTTCTATTGACGGTAAATAGCCCCAAAAAGTTTTCAAACAACTCAGAACTTAGCTACATTTCTACCTTTCTGGTCATAAGCTGGATATGTTGCATGGACTCGGGTACAGATTTGGGTGCGATTGTGTTGATTCATCTAATTCTCATGTCAAGGATACCAGGATATGGCTGGATTTCAAATTTATTACTATGAGTAAGACTTCCATTTTATTGCTTTTATTCAAGTTAGCTGGGGTTGGCTTCTATATGGGCTGCACATTTGGACAAGTAATGAGTTTAAAGCAATTGAGCTTCCTAATATCTGAAGGAAGAAAAAAACAAAAGAAGATAACAAAGTGTATTTAAAATGCGATGTTACAACCAAACCAAACTAAGATTTTTTTTGGTTTGGTTCTCAAGGGGTCACAATTCAGTTCTGAGTTCAAATTATTGGAACTTAAATCCAGCTCATTAAAAGAAATGGAATTTTAGGAGATCTGAACCAAGGACATTTTTAACCAAGATTGAGGAATCAAGTTTGCCGCCCTATAACTTACTACAACAAGAGGGCTGACAAACCCATTTGAGTTGAATGTAAATAATAATATATAGAAAGCCAGATATACGCATTCTCATATACCCTCCTAATATTTGAAATACAAGAAATGGCTCTCAAGTCAACCTATCTATTTCTCAAGTCATCAGGACTCGAGACCAGTTGATACAAGTCAGGTAAGGGCATTTAATTGCAAAGAAAAGAAAATATGCACCATCCAGCGACCTGGAAAATTAAAATTACATTGTAATATGCTTAAACATAATTTGTTGCATGCACATTAGGTAGAAAAGAGACTACTAATCCAGGGGGGAAATTAAGAAGAACAAAACAAAGAAGTAAATTTAAGTGTCATTTATAACAAAAATAAAATAAAATAAAATAAAAAAGAAAGAAGAAGTAATTATAAGTGTCATACAGCGTAAACCGTTAGAGTCAGATTCTTTTAGTTTTGCAACTATAACCTCTCCCACAAATGGACGGAACATAATCAGTCTGAATTTCACCTGCCAGAACACCATAATGTTCAGCTGTTAAAACATACCAAGGGATGTTTTCAAACCAGCATTTATGAAAGCACAATAAAGCTTGATATGGAGACTGGAATAATTTTCTGTGTTTTAAAAATATCATATAATGCATCTTGTATTGTTATGTAGTTTACTTCCAGTGTCAGAAAAAACAATTTAAAACTCTTTTAAACTCTATGCTAAGTACTTCAAACAAGCATTTCAACCCCAAAGGCCCAAACTTGAGTACTTAATAGTTAATTGTTCAATTCCGGTTGACATGCCCACCAATTTTTCCAGCCCAAACACCAGTTCACAACGTGGACTACATCAAGGATTCACTTAAATGCCTAGAACTTGTTGTAAGTATCTTATAATTCACAATATGCAATTAAATGTATCTTACGATACATATACCATATATAATGTAATGTACAATACATAATACATGATACAATATATATGATACATGAATACTTAAATTTCTTTAGCCATTTTGAAAAGAATTAATTGAACTTATTTTATGTAAATTAATATTATTCAAAATTTTCATTAACTTAATAAAAAGAAAATTTTGAGATGAGAATAGACTTTTATCTACCTTTTGACAAATATCTAATTCTCTAGCCTAGTACTAAGTATCTTGTGTTGTTAGTTTAGATATAATTATACCAATTGAAGTTTAAAGTTTTCTTCTATGGACAAGCTCTTTGACAACTTAAAAGTTGAAAATTATATTTAAAAACCTAAACGGTTAGTTAAGACATATTTTATACATATTTTAACTCCACTCTACATTTTATATGCATTAAGTATTGAAGATTATACATTTTTATATGATTTTATCTTTCAAGGAACCTTACTTTTGCAATTTTAAGAATTTTCCATTGTTTGGTGCCTTGTTCTCCTAGGATATTTGGGTAGCGTTTGGTTTACTTTTCAAATCATGATTTTATTTTTAAATCATGATTTGGATGAAACTTATTAACCAAACATATTTTTAAAATACAACTCAAAATTACTTTCAAAACTCCTCTCTTCTCTTTTTTTTTATTATTATTATTATTATTAACCAATCAATCAATCACTTTTTCTCTCTCCAATTTCCTCTCTCCTCTCTCCTCTCACATTCTCTCACATCTTATACATCAATCCATCAAAAAAAAGAAAAAAAAGAAAAATACAAATCATCCTAAAACTATTTTCAAAACTCATAACCAAACAAATTTTCTCTTTTCAAATCATGATTCAAAAACTCAAAATACAACTCTACATTCAAATCATTATTCTAAAACTAAACCAAACAGACCCTTCTATCTGCTACAACTATATTTATTTTTCTAAATGTTTCTAAAGATGTTAAAGTATCTTACAATAAATGATACAATATAATAAGATACATGATTCAAAACAATAGAAAAATAATATTCGATTCGTATCCCGATTTTACAACTATGCTTAGAAAAAAAGATATTTCCCACAAATAGTGTTCAGTGAAAATATACCAATACATTCAAGAACTAAGAATAGTTAACCAAATCTAAATCCATCTGATACCCATTCCCACAAAAACAAAATCTATATATATATAGTTTAAAAAATAATAATATCAGTGTATAAAATATCACGTTTATGGCTAGAGTTTTCTTTGATTATTACTTATTTATCAAAAAGAATAAATATAACAATAAACCACAAGAAGTAGCCCAATGCTCTCTAAAGCTGCATGGAAAGAGACTAGAGATAAGACTGTAAATATATATAAAGAATTTGAAGAAAAACAAATAATTTACAAAAATGCGTCTATATACATACCGTGTATGTTGAAGCACCATCTCCAGGAAAGACAAAGCCGCCATCGATGAACCTTATATCATATACAGAGATACAAAGCCCCAAATTTGCAATAACCTTCATTAAAAGAAAAAGGGGGGGGAGTAGAAACATTAATTTTTTTCCACATGATGCCAAGAATGACCAAATTCTTTCCAATATGACACAAGGATGAAAGAATGCACAGAACACATAACAAAAGAATACATGTTGAATTTCAATGACTAAAAAATCACGAGGAAATGCAACCTTATCTAAAAAGAGACCCTCAAGCTCTCCCTTAATTGCATCGTGGAGAGGAAGATCAAGGAGGTGAGGTGGCAATCGCAATGTGTGCTCAATTTCACTCAAGTAGAACATTTTAGGCCTAGTTCAAAATTCAAAAATCAAAAATTAGGAAAAGGAAAAAAAAAGAAAAAAGAAAAAAAAGATCATTGGCTATGCATTGTTATAACAATACTCAACAATATGTTAAGAGTTAAATGAAACCAATAAATTAATGCAAAAAAATACCACAATGAGAAAGATAGCTTACAATATCAATTCTGTCTCCTTCTATTCCTGGTTTGATGAGAGGAACAAATTATGATTTGAATGTGTAATTCCAATAAAAGGGAAGCTTCCTGCAAGAGGAATGAAGACAAGGAATAATAAGTGATTGGGACAGAAAAGGAATTGGATAAAGATTTGTATTGTATTTTCCTATTTAATATTTTAATTAAGCAGTTTTTATTTTACAATATATAGTTTTAAAATTTTTCAATTTGGAAACTCTTAGTTTAGGGTTTTTGAGAGCCTATTTATAGGCCTTTATGTAGAAGGTTTTCAATACCTTTGGATGAATAAAAATATTGAGAGTTTTATTTTGCGTATTTTATGGTTTAGTTAGGTTTCTTCTTTAATTTTCTGTGTAGTTATTCTCTTTCCTCATTGTTCTTGCCCTAGCTGTCCTGCATCAATAAGCCAAAATCATTTATAATCCCTCCCAAATGCACCACCCTTCCAGTCCCATTAAAGAGTACTAATACTGTCCTCTGTTTTTGTATCCATTTACAGTATTTGCAGATTATAGACAACTGATTACCAAAGAAGAAGGTGCAGAGTCCAATGAAAGACTGTCAATTAGATTTGCCCATAACCAATTCCTAGTATTTTTATCAAAAAAAAAATAGAGACCATTTATTGAGTAGCTGCATGACACAGATTGCAGATATTTTAAATAAAATAAAATAAAATAAAAATTTAAATACCATGACAAATAATTGGCAAACAAAACACCGCACATTTCACACATGGATTATTACAATTTTGCTGTCATGCTGAATAACAAAAATATTTCTTCTCTTCAAAACTCAACCACGACCATGCCATTGATTTAATGCTAATGCAACCAGATGAATTTGACAAATGCATTTCTTCACTTATTTGATTCCCTCGGACACGGCTTTGACACCCTTCACCCCTCCGATATGCCAATAAATAAATATAATTATTTAAAATAAAAAAATAAAAAGTCCATTCACCCTTAAAACATACAATATTAGGATTATTTTTTCTAGTTAAAACATATATTATTCACTACAATTTTGTCATGTCACTTTCCTTGCATTTGGCAATCCTCTTACCAAGGCTTTTGCATATATTTATTTATTGTATCTTGTTTTATGAAAAACTTTATATTTGTGTAGCCTTAGTTTTAGTTTAATATTGACCTCTAGGCCTTACATTTCAATTGTGATAGTAAATACTCGGGTTGAATTACCATTGTCTCATTTAAAAGGTTAAGTTACTAGAGATAAGTACTTTATTATTTATATCTCATCACACAATTTATTACATGTGTTTATACGATATTGGATTGTTGACCATCATCTAATCTAAAAACTTAAATTAAATAAATAATATTATAATCAAGCATTGCGGATCAAGATCAACTAGAATCACCCGTTCAAAAACATTTAGTAACGTGAATTCTAATAAAAAAAATTGGGAACACAAAAATCAATCACACCAGACACAATCCTCTTATATGAGATGGGTTCTACCTTTTGTGGGTCTCACTGTTGGGGTTTATGGAGCCTGATAGTAGTGGACACTGGCCCCTCAATCCAAGGGTTCGGGGGCCTCCCCTGAGGGTTAGGGTCCGGGGGGGTTTTACCGAATTTTTGATTGATTGATTTCTAAAAAATAAAAAATAATCACTATGTTTGATGTCAATTTTTTGGATTTAATTTTTAAAAATTTGAGTTTTTTGTTTTTCATGTATTTTTGTTTTTAGTCAATATTTTCAAAATTTAAGCAATTTTTTTTACTTTTTTAGATGTAACTTCCTTAGATGTATTAAAAAGTAAAATATTTATTCAAAAAATATTTTAAAAAATCAATAAATACACAAAAATATACTGAATTCTCATATATATATATATATATATATATTTATATTTTTGATATTTAATTTTTTTCACAAATATTATACTTTTTTTTAAATGTGTATATATTAGGTATATCTAAAAATTTAAAAAATTGGTTTGAAAAAATTGAATGAAAATAAAAAAAACACAGAAAACAAAAGACTTTTAATTTTATGAAAAGTGAATCCTGCATCCTGAAACTAAACAAGGTTTTTGAAAACAAAAAACAGTGATGCAATGATATATATATATATACTTGCGATTGTTACATTGATACAGATAACTCAACTAAATCACACATATACTGCTCATCCATGTAAATTTTTAGTGAAAATTACATATATATTGAAAACAAAGAGAATTCAGTTCTAGATTGTCATTAAATTGTAATCCAAAAAATTAAAAATTAAAATTTAGGCCTGTTAGGGTTTTGAGAAATTAGGGAAAACAAAGAGACAGAACAAAGACAAAGTTAAATATAAAGATTGAGAGAGAGAGAGAGAGCTCCATACCTGAAATTGGTAGATGGGAGAGTTGAAGGTGGGGGGGCAATGCTGGTGCCGGAAAAATGGTGATGACGGCGCTGACGGTGGGGACACTGGTGGGTGCAACAATGGAGAGCAAGAGTGTGAGAAAGAGGAATGAGGGAAAAAAACAAAGATGAGAGAGAGAGAGAGACTCCATACGTAAAACGACGGAGGCGGCAGTTGACGGTGGAGGAGCAAAGATGGCGGCGCTGCCGGTGGAGAAGGAGAGACGGCGGCGCCAACGGTGGAGAGTGTAAAGAGGAGTGGGTGATTTTGTAAGAGCATCTCCAATCCACTATGCATATAATACTTATTAGTTAAAATGCTTAGTGTGATTCACTTTTTTCAATTCTAATGCACTAGGCATATGATTAGGTATTTTGGCTCAACTCATATTCACTAGCTACATGTAGCTAGCCTTCAACGCTAGGCAAAATGTATTCAATCATTAGGATCAATTCCCTCCATCTTTGTTGTTGACGTGGCATTCTATAAAATTAATAGTATTTGGATAAATAGCTAAAATAAAGAGCATGGTTGGAATAAAAACATAAAACAGTTAATAGGCAAAATAAAATATATACTTTATAGTAATATTTAGATAGGTAAAATGCCTACTACCGTTGGAGATGCTCTAATACCCACACTTGAGAGAGATGGTTTTAGGAAAAATTAAGGAGGAAATATACCACATTGGGAACAGGTGCTGTGCTTTGTAGTGCCTCCATTTGGGGTATATTATACTCTTATTTTTACAATCTAAACCGACATTTTGTAGGGTTTATTGAGTACTTCATACTTATCAAAAATCATATTAATCGGATATCAATAACTTTATGATCGAATCGCATATTATTTATGTTATTTCTCAAAAGAAAAACTTATTATTTATTTTTTTGGTTATCGATCATATAATTTTTGATATCTGATTAATATGATTTTTGTTAGGTATGAAATACTCAATAAATCTTACAAAATCAACGGTTTGAATCATAAAAATAAAATCATAATACACCTCAAACAAAGACATCATAATCACTATTGTGCTCAAAAACATAGCAAGGACCATTTTCCATCACATTGGGGGTTGAAAAAGTAATTAAAAATTAATGAAACTTTTTATAAATATTAATAATAAATTTATAAATGTTTTTAAAATTTTGTATTTTTTGTTTTTGACATCACTTAGATGTTGGGACAGTTTGTTACAGTTTTTGAAAAATTATTGTAATTTATTTTGATTTGAGAATTTGTACCAAACTGTTTGATACAGTTTTTACTTATAACTTATTAAGTAAAAGTAGCTTAAGCCTTGGTTTGGTTTTTGAGTTGGGACTAAATAAGCACGTAAGGACAAAAAAAAAAAGGTTACAAAATCACAAAATGACAAAACACTTAACTTTTGATATAAAATTCACTACGCCAAAATTGGGCTTTAGCGGCGGTTTTTTACCGCCGTTAAAGCCTGTAAAACCGCCGTTAAAGCCTTTAACGGCGGTATTAACGGCGGTTTTATTACCGCCGTTTATGCGCGTGTCGGAAAAAGTACAACCGTCGTAAAAAGGTAAATTACCGTCGTTAAAAGTCGACCAAAAACGGCGGTTTTTTACCGCCGTAAATAGGTTCAAATTTTTCAAAAAATAATTCTTTCTTCTTGCACTCCCCAAGTCTTGAACCCTCAACCTCTCATCCACCCACACTAACCACTCTACCATAGCCACTCTTCATGAAATATATTCTCTAAATAAATATTTAAACATTACTTTTACTTTATTGTAGATGGTTTCGCCGGAGCTCGCCGGAGTTTCGCCAGCAAAGATCGCCATCATTAACGGCAGTAATGATTGGGCATTAGCGGCGGTTTTGTTACCGCCGTTAAAAGTGGGCATTAACGGCGGTTTTTTTAACGACGGTAACAAAACCGCCGTTAATGATACCTTTAACGACGGTTTTCGTTACCGCCGTTAAAAAAACCGCCGTTAATGCCCTGTTTTGGCATAGTGATTATCAAATTGACCCATATACAAATAAAAAGTCAAAAAAGAATCATTTCAAGTGGAGGGCAATTTTGTCATTCCAATACAAAAAAATCAAAAAAGCCAAACAAATAAACCAAACAAACAAAAAAGCCCCAGGCTAAAAAAGTCAAAAAGCTAAGTTTGCCAAACAACACCTAAATAAGATGAAAAAAACAGATTATTTAAAAACTGGGATAAGGGTGCTTTTAATTTCTGCTTCCTGATTATCAACTTTTAACTTAAAAAAAGTTCCACCAAACAAGGCCGTAATAACCCAAAATTAGGTGGTGGTGTTTGGTCAAATTCATGCGTTCAGATCCTCAATCATGGTCGAGTGATCCTTTAAAGTGAAACAAGAGAGCCACATGTCTTATTTCTTAAGTTAATGGCTAAGATTAACCTTCACCAAAGCGATGTTGTTTTAGTGAGGAATAAAAATAAATAAAAAAATAGACAAAGACGTGAGAGAGGGAGAGAACTAGTTTTAGAACCATTGTCACTGCCATCATCTCCGCCCAAAAAACCAGATCGTGAGATCATCGCCCACCACCCACCGTCGTTGCCATCATCCTTCTCTCTCTTCTCATCCTTATCCTCTTCTTTTTTTTATTTTTTTTCTCGCCAAAATGACGTCGTTTTGGTGAGGGAGTGATCTCAACTCTTCGCCCTTTTATTAGAACAGGTGTCACACCCTAAACAATACAATTCACCGTATCACTTCACACAATCACATTAGAGGATTCAAACCTCAAATTCACCTGACATCACAAATTTTGATATTGAAAGTGTTTGAAAATATGCTTTTTGATATTTTATGAAAAATGTTCAAAAAAATAGAGACTATAAAAAGAAATTTTGATTTTTTTATATGATTTTTTAGTTTTTGATTTTTCACTATATTAACTAATTTCCAAACTACCCTTACTTAGCAAAGTTGATGGATTTAGCGCACCTCTCTTCCTCTCAATCAATCAAATTTTGCAAATCATGAGGTATTTCTTTTTCTTTGTTTTTATTAGAATTTTGGAAAAAGTTTTGAAAACTTTTTATCAAGACAATGAACTAAAGGCACAAAGAGGTAGGCGAAATCTACGACACTATTATTCAAAAAGAAACTTTGACTCAGTGATGACAACAGACTCAAAAGCAAAAGAAAAGACAGACACGAAAAGGATAGTGATGTTTGGGTTATCATCACTGAAATCACCAAAATTAGACTTGCTAGAATAACTCGCGCCTGATCCCACCTCTACAAACTTGGTGGAATCAAACTTAGACTTAACACTCAATTTAGAACTCAGAATAAAATCGTTCTCAATAGTTAAGTGCAAGCCACAAACTGCGCTCAAAATAAAGCTAGTGCAATCAACAAGCAATCCTTTTACGATCACAGAAATAGTTTGATATCCCGCAAGTTCTATGGATTCACGCTGGTAGACTTTATGGGATATCAAACTTTTCTGAAGCTATGGTGCCACAATAACTTCGCAAAAAAAAAAAAAACAAAACAAAACCCCTAATCAGAATTTTGGCAGCACTTCGGCTTAATTCGCACAATTAATCATTATATGTCCCACCAAAAAACTGAACTTAACCTCACAAATTGATATGCTTGAATCACCAATCTAAATTTGAGAACCTCTATACAGATTTCTGTTCATAGCACATAGTAGAAAAGAGAACAAGCACCCTTATCGGGGGTAGGGTTACCATGTTCTAGCTTTGAAATGATCTAGAGCTTCACTATTCAAACAAATGGTATCATACATCCTATAAATGGGAGGGCATCCTATCCTAAGTTGAGAATGTGCTATAGCTCACTGTATGACATCACTAAAGAGCCCTTTGGTTAATAACCAATTAAGATCCCAAGAAGTCGAAAGAGTCAATATAACCTCTCTTCGAAGTCCGATAACCTTAAATGACAAAGCTATGTTTTTGATAGATCTTAAAAAGTATTAACACAAGGTCTCAAAAGTAATGTGGAGATAGGTATAGTGTCACAAAAAGCTTGCTTGTGCTCCCATGAGTATCTCGGCAACATAGGGACTTTAAGTGCATCAATGCATGCAATGCAATGAACATATAATTGAAAATAGAAGTCATATCATGGAGTTTGAGTCAATATTTTTCAATATCCCCAGTAAAGTAGCCAAAAACTGTAACATCGCCCGGAAGGTACCCATGTGCGTTAAACAGTTCGAACCCTCGATGTCTTTGATCTAGTCTTACGAGTATTAATGTCATAGGTCAAATTGTGTTAATTGTTTTGGAGTGTTAGCAGATACGAGATAGAAAGAGGAGGGGAAGGGTGGATGGAGAGGTGCTCACATGATAGATTATAAGATAAGAAGACTAGTATAAATTGCAATTATTTCATAAGGTAGCTAAGGATCACAACGATTGATTATGTCTATCGGGAAGCCAACAAATGCACAAATATCCTAGCAAATCAAGGTATTTATGCCACAAAAGGATTTTATGTTTTTAATTTTGTTCCTCATTTTTTATCTAATCAATTGTATGACGATATTAGAGGGATTTCATATCTCATAACTTTACTTTCTTAATCTATTCATTGCCTCCCCCCCTCCAAAAAAATTTTTTTTTGGTGAAACCCTCTTTTTTGGACTTTTTTGGAGATAAATGACAGCTTAACTAATTTAAAAAATCCCTCAAAAAGAGGCACGTAACTTAGTAAGGACACACCATAATTTTCTTTTTCTTTTTTATAATATTGCCTTTATATATATATATATCATATATCATATATTTGAAAATCTAATTGATATATACACTAATCGCATATATTTAAAAATCTAATCACTAAAGACAATCTGAAATCAATCAAGACGATCTCAAAATTTGAAAATTTCGCTGTCGACAATCTCATTGTCTATCAACAATGGGCGATACGTCGCCGATGATCTTACCAAATTTGATTCGATCATGTATTCTCCAGCAATTTTGAAATCTGTATCAACGAGAGCTTATATTTCAAATATGTATAAATCTGTATCAAATTTTGAGAGTTTCATCAAGATTGAGAGTGTTGATCGAGTTTTAGAGATTTTGTTTCGATCACGTGTTTGATTATTGTTTGAGTTTGATCAGGTATGTTGATTTATTGATTAGTTGGTTTTTTTGTTATTTATTTATTTTTATTATGTACGATCTGATTTTATTTGATAGAATGAAAGCAGAATTTTACTCAGGTACTGTGTGCTCTATTTTTGTTTAATAGAAAAAGATTAAAATTTTACTTT